TCTAGACTATTGTTGATATGACAGTGACCCTTCTTTTTCCTTGGAGTTATAAACTGGCAAATTAGACTCACTCATTTTCCTACGGCCAATGGAGACGGCTACGAGGATCTACGATTCGGGATCAGAAATGTCCACTCTCCTAGCCGAGAGTCGGCTGGTTAGGTCGATCGTAAGTTCCAGTTTGGGGTTTCGGCTAGAGGATTTACGCCATTGAAAGCTTTGAGACGGCAGGGAATATTGCAAGACGACGCCTAAAGTAAGAGCCTGTTTGTACACGCAGAAAACAGGAAGCTTTTAACAGAGCCGTTTCTCAACACTACTGAATCACCTCAGGATACCAGGACCAGCTACAAGAAAAGAAATTGAAGAGAGATACCCGCCCTGGCCACATCCCGTCGGTGTCCCGCCTTCCGCCGGTCTCATGACGCCCTGATAATCACAGCGTTCCACCGCGAAGCCCGTGAAACCTAAGATCCACGGATCGAGCTGGCTAGAACGCCTTGTGGATATGACGACAAGCGGGATGTGTATTCTAGATGGGAGCAAGTTATTGGGGATACCTATCGGTACCGAGCGGGTAGCAGACCTATAATTACAGTAATTCACTGCCTTCTTGTACAGCAAAAATGAAAATGCCCTCTACTGTTCGTCATAGATGAAACTCTTGTTCATTTCTGTATATATGAGCTGCCTATATGTCGAAACTAGGTCGGTGTGCGATTTGAACGCCGTCGGGTGAGAAATGGACACGCTGTCAGTAAATCCGTGCCGGGGTACCCTTTTTGGGCAAAACCGGGCAGTTGTACAGTGTCACGCCGTTGCCGGTGGCTGTGTCACGCAGCTCAGTTATCTTCGGTCCGATGCGATCAATCGATAAACACTTGTTCTATTCTTCGTCTATCGTACCGTTGCCACCCACATCCTCCTCAGGATCCTCCTCAGGATCTTTCCGCGCCTTCTTGGTTGGGGGTTTTACCCGGGTCTCCTTGTAATTCGAACGCAAAGGCTTTGGATGGGCTTTGTCCCAAACCTTCAGCTTGCGGCCCGCCTCCTTCGCTGCTACTCGCGCTGCTGTCCACTTGTTTGCATCCTCCTGAAACTGGCGATACAGTGCCGCATTCCTAGCCTCCCGACCATCCTCATGTGCCTGCCACGCTGCCATCCGCTCCTCGTATTCAAGCTGCTGGGCAGCCCTCTCCTCCTTGTCGCGCGCCTCCTTCGCCTTCGCATCCTCGTGCTCCTTGACGGCTCGAATCACGGCGGAATGTGTCATCAAACGAGGTAAGCCGTCTCGTAGAATACCTCCTCGCCCCTTCTTCTTCCTCTCTGCCTTTCCTTCCTTCGCTTGAAGCTGACGACGCAGTTTGTTGCAGTATAATCGCTGCAACACGAGCATGGATTGCATACGGATCGCCTGCTCCTTGTAGTAATCTGCTGCCGCTGCTTTCGCAATGAGAGCCTCCTGCATGGCATCCTCGTCGGGTGTGGATGTCGTCTTTGTTGTGAGGTATGTGACATCTTGCCTTGACATTGACGGTTTGGTAATGCGACATTTCATAGGCGAGATGAGAACATTCGGCAGATCGGGTGGATTAGAAGACGATGGGATAGGCGTTTGTGAGAAGAGAAAGCCGCAATCAGAGTTGGCAAGTTCTTCGAGGGCGGCTCGGATGGGAAAGGTGTCAAGCCGTGGGTGGGCAGGTTCATCATTTACAGGTTCTTGTTCCTCCCCTTCTCCCTCCTCACCTGCTTCATGACCAGCCTCACCACCCCCCTCCTCAACATCATCTACCTCCTCATCAGCACCATCCTCCACCTCCTTGTCCTGCTCTCCATCCGCCACCGCTTCTTCCTCCTCTTCACCCGCTTCATATTCCTCATCACCTCTCTCGTCAACCGCATCCCCACTGGCTCCCTCATCCTCACCTTCGGAATCTGTATCCGAATCATTGTTTGGAGACGACGTGATGAAGATAGGCTGGAGGGTGTCAATGATCAGCTCCGTCATGATGCGGACAGCAGCCGGTGGCTCGACTGGGGTGTAATGCCGAAACGAGGTGTCGCGGCTGGGAGCGAGCTTATCGGCGGAGATCACGTCGCGGTTAAAAGGTATGATTCCTGTCTTCAAGAACGCCTTCTTGATTAACTCCGGTTGTAGTATCGCAAGATGGGTGTCACCATAAACCTTCAGGAAGTTCTCTTTTGAGATCTCCTGGCCCGTCTCTCGAAAGAGTTTGTCACGGTTCTCACCGAACCTTTGCTTCATCGGGCTGAATATCACGACATCCAGACCTTGGTAAATGTGAGTTGTATGGGCAGGATAGCACAAGACATGGATCTTATGCGCCTTGCAGAACATCAAGAACCCGCGAGTGACATGTGAACCATGTCCGTCGACGTAGAGGACTCGCCACCTGCCACCCGCCTTCTCACGAGTCATTCGCTCAAAGTGCTTTGCGTACTCGATGCCGATCTCGTTATCCGTCCAGCCCTTCTTCGAGTATCCCAGCCTTGTCGCAGTAAGTACATGATATGATCCAAAAGGTTATCATTACTCACATTGCTTCTGCAGGGTTATCTTGCTTCCACCGAACCGCAAAGCCCTTTCCAGAAAACAAAACGGCTGGAGGTATGGCAGTCCCATCCGCGCAGATATTGACAATGACAGTCGTTGTCTCCCTCGTTCCAGCTTGCTGCTGGTACTGGACGTTCTTGCCCACTCCGCCAATCACCCGCTCTTCTCCCTCATCACCGTTAGCCTGAAAACCTGCCTCATCCAGCGTGTACGTGTTCTCAGGTGCAATTGCGTTGCCCTCATCTCCATGCAGCTGGACGTTCTCAACGAGATCACACCAGGCCTTATGGTTTTCTGGGTTCGCAGCTTTCCCTCGGACATCATGGAGTGGCCGAGTCCGGTATACGTGAAGGCGTTCGTGATGCCGCTCAACAAAGCGGTGGGACCAGTGCTTCCCAAGACCAGGAAAGGAGGTGCCATAATGCGCTCGGCAGAGCTCTATGACGTGCTCCTTCAAACGACGATGTGACAGCCCGAAGCCCTGAGCTGCCGTCTCGATGAGGTAATTGACAACCTCTTCTTCTTCGACAGCGCTCAAATGAGATGAATCCCATTTAGTCTCCTCCCGAGGACATGTTTTGCCAGTTGCGTGATTACGGACAGTGTTGTGATTCAGCTTCAGCCAGTGGCCTGTCTTGGCATGCCATCGCTTGCGTGCCTCCTCAGCCACCTCCCGGTAAGACAGGCGCTTGTCTTTTGGCTTCTGTTGCTCATCCAGCCAAATTGCGTGAGCAATCCGGTAAGCTCTTGCCTTTTCCTCTTCTTCTTGGCGTTTTTTTAGCGTGTCGGAGGCTGCGTGCTTTGCCATGGGGGTGTATTAAGGTAGTTTAGTGTTGACCGTAATAAAGCGTGTTGAGGAGCTTGCGGAAAAAGCAGTTATGTGTTCGAAATTGAGGAAAACGGGGGATCAAGGTGCAGCATGACGGGTGTGTCACACTTATGATGCGGTGTGACATTCCCCATCACCGATGACCAATTTCCCCCCTCCAGATGATCTTAAGGCCCTGGAGCTCTCTTGGTGATAGCCCAACCCAAAATTTGCATTTCAGTCAGTCAGAACATGATATTCAGACATCTTTTACTCTCAAAGTTGGTCTCTAGTGTCATGGAAGAGTCACGAAGGATGGTCGATTTTTTTGCCCAATTTCCGCTTTTGGAATGTTTTCCCATCCCTGTCAGCGGAAGCAGTGCCGCCTCTCCCACAAAGGTTGCAAATGGTGATCCAACCATATATTCACCCACAGGATTCAAGAAACATACCCGATCATAGTCCTATCACTCAAAAAGTCACTGTGTACAACTGGGCGGGGGTGTACAAGAAGCCAGTGAATTACTGTACCCGTACCTTGGCTTCACCAGGGCTTTTTTATGTTCAACCGGTGAGAGAGATCTGAAGCTACAAAGTCTGGGCGGCCCAATACCCCCAATAATTGATATTCATTGAATCATTTGAGTGAGGGGCTTGTTAACATATTTGTCGAGATCTTGGATAAACGGCGCCACGATAACGTATATAATGGGCGGGTTGGGCGACCTTGAAGCTTACAATAGAGCCGTTTGCGTACCTACTACCCATCGCCCGAATCATCTTGGTGTTGCTTCACATTTGAAAAGGTACATACAAGTTCATCAGATTTTCGAAGGCACTTGCCTCGCCACGTGCTAGATTAGATCCAACACAGGAAGCTACCAAAAACGTCGATGAGAAGCCCGTCTATCACCAGCGGGAGAAGACGATACCAAGCGACGTGGATTTTGCCTCAGCCAACGAACATAGTTCATCAAGAGGAGGGCCCTTGATGCCCGAGAAGATTGAAAATTCAGCTTTGCATGCTTTTGCGTGTGTGCTTGATGAAGTATGAATAAACACATATTAAGATCGCCAGTGAAGGGGAAGAACCAACCTACCTTTGTGGACCTGATTGACGTGATTGATCATCGTGATGGCTTCCCATTTTGGGAAAAGAAAGAACGATCTAAGCGCCACCAGTCTCACACGAGCCGTCGGAAATCGATCGAACTTTCGAAGTTTTAGCCATAGGATTCCGTGGAGCAGGGTGGACAAGTGAGCGGTCCCGTAAGCCTTTCTTCGATAAAAAAAATTGGACTCTCGTACCAACATCTTGGGCATCGTCATGGGATCAAGTCCATGCCCGAGAAACACGAACTCCAGATCAAGATACCACATACCCTTCTCGATGTTTCTTCGAGGGTATTGAGGTCTTAGCACATTGACAGCTGTCTGAAGAGACGTAACGAATTTATTCGGGGCCTGATTCCTGGGTCCAGATAGTTGACCTGAAGGGCCATTCGTCAGGCTCGTTGTCTATTGTGCATCGCAATGACTTGCAGCTTGTTCGATTGCAGATAGAGTTCGGAGCAAAAATCGAATTAATTCCCCTAAGAAGGCTATAGGGCATGTTCACTACAGTTTGCTTGTCAACTCCGTAGGCGATTGGTTGAAGGTAAGAGCATTGAAAACGGCGGTAGCCAGTTGAGTCGGTGCTTCTTGGACGACCTTGGGTATGACCCGATCAGAAAAAAATCGGGAAAGGAAAAGAGGAGATGGGTACACACCAAGTGTCCTACACCCTCTATACGAGTAACAGAAGCAAATACTCGACTTTCTTTGGGGTCTATGAGCGAGTCCTGAGCCTCTCTCTCGCTAAACGACGAATAAGTCAGCCAGATTTTCCTAAAGTGCCGAATTCGAAGAGAAAGGGACACGTACAAGAGATCATTCTTTCCTCCAAAGATCAGATGTACTGGGATATGAACACAAATTTGGTTCAGTCGGTTGAGTGCGTTCGAGGCGTACTGTTTGCCCTCGAAGGCTATATTTTCCGCCAATCGGTGTGTCGTCAGAGTCACTCCGGACATTTTGTCTGGGTAGTACGCCGTCGGGAGGGCCCGAAGACCGTGTTTCTGTTATTCGGCACGTCAACGGGCTGCGTTGTCGTCGATATGATAGGGATCAACAGCATACCACGTAGACGTCAAACACCCTTTCATCCCAAGCAGCCCAGGGTAGCCGAGCCTTCAACCATGCAGCCGCCGCGTCAGCACTCTTCCAGATGTCTTTCCTTGTTGGCGTGGTGGATTTGACAAACTGGTAGATGTCTGACTCCTTGTCGTCGAAGGCCTTGCTAGTCATAGCGGGTTCGATGAGGACAATCCGCGAGAATGGAAGTCGGGAGGGTGGGTTGAAAAATTCAGTGGCTAGCGTCCTGCGTTTTCCATGAGTATGAAAACATCCAAGTTCGGTGTGTAGTGCCAAGGGGCTACTTACACCCCAACTGCGCCAGCGGAGTGACCACACAAGATAATTGGATTTCGATCGCGGGCGAAGGCTCCGAGGAGGCCTGATTTCACGAGTGTCGCGAATGCATTTCCATAGTCCCAAATATCTGTAGGAGTCGGTTTGAGAAATTCATCTCGAAATTCATGGATGAGATCACGTACTGACAAGGCTCTGGTCTATGCAAAGAATTCCCTCATTCAAGATGCAACCATCTCCATGGTTCTGGCAATCCAACGCCCAAGCTTCTCGAATGATATAACCTCCTTTCGCCCCGGCGTCGAGCTTGAACAGGTCTTCGATTGTGGGTTCCCAAGTTTCCTTGGCTGTCCATCTTGGAGTCGGAATTACATTGCAAAGGAATGTGGAAACTTACAGAACCCAGCTCCATGCCCGAGTAGCAGAATCGCACCGGTACCATTTGAGCCAGTCGCTGAGCCAGTGTTCCTCGTGTACTTCTTCATTGGAGCCTTGAGGTCAACTCCATGGGTGTTCGTCGTCAAAACGAATTCCTCCACTCGAAGACTGGGCATCCCTGAGACGGTATTACTAGATGAAAAGGGGAGAAAGCAATTCATGATCTGAATTCGCTACTATTTATGAGTAGAACAAAACATTTTACCTTGGGCTGTCGTATGGGAGAAGGATCGAGGTATTTTGACGTACACTGGCGCTCCATGACTGATTGTTACTCTGCTACGGGGGGGCGCGTATAAAAGTACATCCGAGGTCAAACAAGGGAGAAGGGCCAAATATTCTCTCGGACAAAGTTTCATGGTTTGTTGCGCGGTACGATGGTCAGAAACCGATATGGGTAAGAACGGAGAGAACGGAAGGAATCGGCCCGGGATTCGTTCCGTTTGCTTCCGAGACCAAACAAGTTCGTTTGTCATCAGCTGTGCCGCCCATGCCGAAAAGAACAGCAAGTGGTCGCAACAGCTTGAACTTGAGCTTGAATTTTTTCTCTCCTCCAACGAATGTCGCAAAGTCTGTCGTCAGAATGCACTCCGCTGAAACAAGCGTACGACTCATGCTTTAATTCCTGGTTCGAGGGCTACTTGGAACCCGCCATTGCCGCCTCGACGTCAGTAGAAGCTCGGGCAGCGTATTCGAAGAAAAAGGCCGACGAATTCCAGGCGAAATGTGGGAAGGTATGGGATGAGTACAAAGCTTGCGTTCAGGTGCGTGGATTTACTCTTGTTCTCTCCCGATGTTGTGTTGATTGAACTCTGTAGAAAGCCGTGAAAGAGAAGGGGCTTGACAAACTCTTGCAACAGGCGAGAGAGGAAAACCCACTCATTGAGCCTGTACCTCCACCCCCTGTGAATCCCCCAACGAAATAATTGACTTCATCTGTGCCGATAAACTACTTGTAGCATAGGTTTGTGTGAGTTCCGTTTCGTTTAGCAACGATGACCAAAATTGTCCCGTCAGAATATTTCACTTGTGTAATTTAATCCTAATTTCCCCCCTCGATCCTATTCCAACGCTTGCGGCTAGAGCTTGCACCCAGAACCCTCCACCGGCGTTGTAGTACTCACCGAACTCTGTCTTCCGACAGCCAGCCGAGCCCCAGCCCTTCCTTACCTACATGACCTCAATGTGGGGGAACTCTCCATCCCTACGCGCTAAGAAGAATCGTGGATCTGTCGCTTCTCGTTTTGACAACGTCTCCCGATAGTTGGAGGTACGTTAGCTGTGAAACTTCCCTCCTGAACACGCCTAATAAACTGACGTAGAATACGTCTTCCTCAGGTTCTTCCTCCGATTGTTGTCTACGCTGGCGTTGAAACACTGCGATATTTTCCCCGTGAGCGTGTAGAGACGATAAATGGTGCTCCATGGACATGTTGAAGCAGCTGTGCCCCGAAGTCTCTAACAACGCTTTCATTCTAGACCATCGAAGAAAACCTTGTGCGTTATACGGTCAGTGTCAGCACACCTTTGCTCTCGACTTGGCTTGTCGCTTATTCTCCAGCCAGCACAGAGACGGATCCCGCTTGAGATTAAGTAGCATGAGCGAAGACTTTGGCAAACTAGTCCGAACTCGACTCACCGGTCGACGTGTCGTCGACCTCAATACACATTTCTATCACCGTTCCATCCAAAACGGCCTCGACGGCGAGCCCAGGCAGGTCATGGAAACGTCTTAACCCGCCTTCTAGCCCCGGAAGCCAATCCGACGCAGCTCCAAAGATCATGCTCCAGGAGCTGGCGAAGCAGAACAAGCTGAAGGAAGCTAGCATTCAACTACGATTTTTGATACGAGGTCTATCCTCGGCTTTTACTCTGGTACGTTTCAACCATCTTTTGATGATGGCGAGGACATTCAAAATCTAACAATACTTTGACTCTTTTCTCCAGTCTGATGAAGATATTTCATCCTATCGACGGGTCGATGCAAAGCTTAGCTCCCGCTTTCTTTCTGTGGAAAGCCACGTTTATCCTGGAAGTCGCTCTCCCTCAATACTTCCGTAATTTGAGCTCCTATCCTCCCACTCTTTTGATATCCGTATCCATTCTCGACGACCTTGAAGTGAGTTTCTATCTTTAGTTTGATACTGGACGGGTTACAAGTACCTCGGGCCCTAGGTCTCTTCCTGAATCAATGATGCCTCGGGAGCGTCCTATAAATTCCTTCGTCTCAACGTCCTTCTCTCTCAAGTTCAAGTTCTATAACACCCCAAAATGTCCGCGCCCCTCGTCTGGCTCATCACCGGTGCCTCCTCCGGCCTAGGACGACAGGTCGCCCTCGAAGCCCTTAACCGCGGAGACAAAGTCATCGCTACTGCCCGCCCAACCTCCGTAGCGAAGCTGGCCGACCTCAAGGATCAAGGCGCTGACGTTCTCGAACTGGACGTCACTGCGCCACTGGAGGTGCTGCATGAAGTCGCGAAGAAGGCTGCGGCGATCCATGGACGCATTGACGCCCTCGTGAATACCGCAGGTCGGTATGATTGATGTTTTGCCCTCGATGTGGAGCTGATGTTGTTCAGGATATATCCTCATTGGCCCTATGGAAGAAACTACGTACGTCTCGAACCAGCTCCTCTTGCTCACACACGCTCGAGTTTGACATCTACCCGCCTGCAGCCCGCAGGAGACACTCGAACAGTTCAAGTGCGTTTACATTGATCCCTCGGCTCTCGACACTTTGAAGCTCAACGATTTTTTTGCACAGTGCGAACGTATTCGGGGCTCTGAACGTTACGAGAGCTGTTCTTCCGTACATGCGCGAAAAGAAAACTGGGACCATCATCTTCGCAGGGTCGATTTGCGGGCTGGAGTATGTTTTGCTTTCTTTAACACTGGCCTTCGAGAAAGTGACGCAAATATTACCTATGCAGGTCAACTCCATTTGCTGGCATCTACGCCGCCACGAAATGGGCCCTTCGAGGTACGATTTTTTAACGATGCTCGCTTCGTCGAACATGAAAATTCAAACAATCTATGTACCAGGAGTCTCCCAGTCTCTGCACGATGAAATATCACCCCTCGGTCTCCGAAGCCTCTGCGTCGACTTTGGATACTTCCGCACCGCCATCCTCCAGAGCGAGCGGCTCGTCACTCGCGAGTCCACTCTAGCGGATTACCAAGACAGGTTCGAGCAAGGCAAACAATTTGTTCAAAGTACGATATCCCTTTGCTTCCTCTTTTTCTTTCTGGCCACCAACTGACCTATGTCTGTTACTTACGCAGGCTACAGCGGCACCAACCAGGCGACCCAGTGAAAGGCGCGAAGGTCGTCGTCGACATCGTCAAGGGCGAAGGGGTGGCTACTGGGAAAGCGTTCCCGCGCTCACTCGTCCTTGGGACTGACTGCTACAATGCGGCGAAGAAGGAAGTCGAAGGAATGAAGGAGAGGTTGGAGGAGTGGAAGGAGGTCTCGCTCAGTACTGATTTCGCAAGCTAGGTAATGTAATGCTGGAGAAATCTCTAGAGGAACGCGACAAGTGAATGCACGTCATTTTGATTGGTGTCGATTGCCCCTTCTTGCCCGGAGAAGCGCTAAGATTGATGCATTATTGATGGATTCCAGTCCTGAAATGTAGACGAGGTCGTTCAGAAAGGTGGACGTGTGGGTGTGGGAGGAGGAAAGTCAGCCTAGAGCTCCAGGGGTGATTTCCCATATAGGCATTCCGCAAACCAAATATAGATAAGTTCAGCTGACTGGGAACAAAGGCCGACAAGAACATGGAGTAACAATGCATTTACCATTACGCTCTGCAGGGTATAAATTGCATGAAGCGTCTTTACTGAGGTAGATCTGACAGTAAGCGAAGCGCCTCGTGTTGACGCACCGAACCGCATAGCATCGAAGAGACAGACTCAGACTTCCATAGCCGCGGGAAAGATGAGATAATATTTCGAAAAATGAGGCTCCACCATTGCCTTAAGCCCTTTCAACTGTGACCGCAACTTCAATGGGAGGTAACTGAGCCGCTGGTGTCTTCATTAATGACTTGACCAACGAGGAGGCATTATGGCTTAGTCGCAACAATGGGATGGTCCTCTATACCGAGAGGCGTAAACGAAATTATCATATGATGTGCCTTTCGACTCACTTCTGTTCCGTCTCCGCCAGACATAACAGCCCCGATGTCGGAGCTAGGGGCATCATACAAGCTGACAGCGATGCCCTTTTGGGGGCTTGCATTCAGCCTGTCGGAAATGCACGCGCTATTCAGAGCAAGGGCACGAAAAGGAGAAAAGGCGTACATCATGAGTAACGAATTTGAGTATACTGAGGGCTGGTGAGGATGTGATGCTGAAATATCGAGGATGAAGTCTTACATTTTGCAAGAACAATGTAAATAGCGAGCCAGACCAATAGCACACGGGGCCGTTTAGTAATCGGATGAATACGATTAGGATATGGCTTACGGCCTTCCATCGTCTGAAACTTTTCCCTCGGGTTAGCTTGAATGAAAATAAAAAGGGCCAAGAAGGTAACCTACGCATATAACGGTGGTGAGGTGTGCGAGGCTGCGTAGGCAAATTTAAGTGATTTCTTGCCATACGTCAAAGCCCAAAACAAAAATTGAAGCGGCTAACCTCGTCAAAAGGCCCGTCTCTGTTACATATCCGCAGTTAATTCCAAACAGCTCGCAAGAAAGCAGAGGAGTGACCTACGAACAGACCACCGCATAAGCCTCTTGAGAATCTGGCCCGTAGACTTCAGATCAGTCGGTGAAGAAAGCTTGCGCAGATAATAAATCATCGATGCCGCTATCAGTAGATCGGCAACACCGCCAACCGTGAGCCCAGTCGTAATCAGCCAGCTGACGCGCACGACGAATATGCCTGTCCCGCCGTCAGATATGACCTCGCGGATGGCGATTACGCCAACCGCGAATACCCCAATGGAGCGCAGGACGGCGAGGACAAAGCATGCAAAAGCGGCGAGCGATCGCCCCTGGGCTATTCTCCTGATGCGATATGCGAAAAAGAGCTAATTGAATGAGGAAAAGCCTCCGATAAGTGTGGCGTAAAGGAGAGGTATGCCCGGAGACATACCTGGACCATGGTGGTAATTAGATTCTCGACAATAGTTGCTACTGAGAGTGGATATGTGTTTATTGCGGGGTGTCTCCACGTCGTGACTGTGTCGTAGTAGACCGCGGCGGCGGCCAAAGAGGTATGCACTGTCTCGAGGAAGCTGTACACGACTATCAGGTACGCAAACCCAGGGAGCTTTAGCGCCCGTCAAAAAGCACGAGGACGTACACAAGACTAGAAACCTGGCAAGAGTGCTGGTTAGCCACTGTGTTACTGAGTGAAAGAACGAAACTCACGTACCAGGAGCTTCAGCCCGGAGGTGTCTTCCCTCCTTCGGAAGAAGAAAGAATATGCTTGGGCGAGCAAAATACCGAACAGTATCAAGCTGACGAACACTCCAACCTCGATTACACCGAGGTTCTTGTCCGTCTGCACTTGAAAACTGGCGAAATCGACAGTGGCGCTTCTGTCCTGGAGCATCTGGAGGAGCTGGTTACACTTCTGGACCTGAAAGCGCAGGAAGTTATAGCATAGTCTTCGCTCAGAATGTAACAGATGATCAGCACGGAGAGTTCTCCTCTGATTCATCCCTTCATTTATGGGAACATAAATAGACGACTCTGCAGCGAACAAAAATAAAAGTGCCCACTTCGATCGGAGTCCTGGTCTACCTAACCGCATGGGTATAATATGGCATGCGGTTTGTGCTTCTGCATTGGCTCTTCGGGACATGATCAACACCTAGCTGTGCTTAATGAACGGCCTCGAGAATCTGTTCTAGCTGACTAACAATAGAAAAGAAGGACAATTCCAATGCCCTATCCCAATAGAAGTTAGCTGCAGTGAAAGCTGAATGAGAAGGAGGCGTACGGGAATCGATGATGTGATTATCGCGTCCGCGATCTCTCATCGACGTTATGAGAGCTATGCGATTTCCCCATCTCACCGCAATACCGGGCCTGCTCCTCGTATTACTAGTATAACTCGCGTGGACGCCGTCAAGTCTGGTAAAGGTGTGGCTGTGGAAGATTATTCCCGCGATCTTTTGTACTTGCCGAGGGGATGGACTGCTATAATGGGGCGGGGAAGTCGGTGGAAGAGGCGACGGAGAGGTTGGAGGAGTGGGTCGCTATCACAAAGGCTGCGGTCGAACGGAAGTCAAATAGATTTTGAAGTCGTGGGGGTCTTGGGATCACTTCAACACGCATGGCAGATATCGAACGACGTTTATGGCCATAGCATTCCCCCACTTGCAATCGATCGGCGACACCCCGCGAGGCATCGTTTCCTCCTCGCCTCTGGCCCACTTTCCCCAATCAGGTCAGATTCTGATAGACGCCCAAGAAGACAAGACTGACCATGAGGCTGATTATCGATCGCAGGATACTTTCGTCTCTTGCGCTCATCATCCCATTGCCATGGACCAAAACGCCTCGAACGACACAGAGCCCAAGCTCTCCCCTCTCTGTGAGCCCATCTCCATCTTTCCTGGGTCCCTTCACCTTAGCCGCACCGCTCGCAGTTTGGGACCCCAACGCAGACGTGACATTCATATCGTCAGATGGTGTCCTCTTCAAGATATACCGTCGGCACTTAGAGCCGACCACGGGCGGGTTCCCTGGCGCGGACGCGATGGTCGTAGGCCCCGAGCCCGTCGCATTACCAGAACCAGCCAACGTGCTGGAGGTCCTCTTCCAGTTCATCCAGGCCCCAACGGAGGCGACGAATTTCCGACAGCCATCCGTTCATGACATGCAGGAAGATATTTTCTTCGCTGTCGCAGAGGCTGCGGAGAAGTATCTAGTCTACGGTGCCATGAACATATGCATCACCTTTATGAGGTGCGCACATCTTCTCTAAATCGTCTTCCATGCGATCCTACTGTTGTGAAGGGAGCATTATAAAGAATGGCCAATCCAAACCCTGAACCATTGTGCAAGACATAGGTACGCAGATCTTGCGGACACAGCTGCGGAGGCTTCGTTAAGATGGTCTTTAAATACGGTAGCACAGCCTTTGACTCACCCGTCCGTCCTCCAGAGATGGGTAAGTCTTCACCGCGGAATTGAGCGGGCTTGCCTGAATCCTCTTAGGTCATTTACTTCAATTCGTGGTTGGAACCATTGAGAACCATTGAAGGGGTTGCGACAAAGTCAAAGGGCAAGGCGTGTGGTGAATGCGCAAAAACGTTTACAGCCTATTTGGCATCAGTCATTCGCGACGTCTCGTCTGCCCCTGATCTGTTGGAATTCCACGAGGGCTGTGCGTCGGCATCCCCGAAGATCTGTCCTTGTAGGGATATGCCAGAACAGCAGCGTACACTTAAACGATCCCGCCAGAACATCCCGAAGTTCAGTAGCATTACTCTCTGAGTATAGAGAGAGTATCTTCAATAAGATCAGAATAGGATGGTTTCATGATCTGGTCCAAGAAGGCTTGTCTGTCATTTGTACATCTGCAGAGGGAGACTTGGGCAGCATCATACGTATGTTCCGACGAAAGTCATGAAACTACAAAAGAGTCAGAACAGATGTCAGTTCGCGAGCGAAAAATTGCACACCTTGACGGTACCCAGCATCGTCGACCCTGCCCACATGAGCCCCGCGATAGATACCACCATGACCACTGTCGCGATTCCGAAGGCCTTCGCAGCCATACGAGCAGTGGCAGGCGCCATCTCTGAATACGCCGCTCTCATCTCCCGGAAAGTTGGAACGGAGAGTTCAGGTTCCTCAGGTGACGGCGAATGACTGGGTTGTGGACGAGGTGGCCATACGGATCTGTGCGTGTAACGACGTGGAATTCGAAGAAAAGACCGAGAGATTCGTGGTATCATCAGGAAAAAGTTCGAGGCAGGTGGAAAAGCACGTCGTTCGTTTCATTTGGCCGGATCGGTTGTTGCCGATTTCATTCCCACCCCTAATTTTCGAAGTACTGAAGAGCAAGACTGGTGAACTTGAACTTGAATTTGAGCTTCGAGTCTAAGAGCATAGATGTATAGCAGAACTTTTAAACATATAAAATAAGTAGAATTACATTTGGGTTTTATTTTTTACAGGTGCTGTTTACTACATTCTGCGTCTGCATCACATCCGTCGAAGGTCTAGGAGACAACGCAAGTATCGAGGCCGCGATAGCTATCCACACTAGAGTAGCGCACAGCGAGGAGTATATGACTACGGTGCAGGAGGACGTCGGACCATTGGTTGGATATGGGAGGATATTCGCAATCGCGACCATCAGCGGAATTCGCATCCCTCTAGCCATGGAAATTGGGCGTTAGAATCTGAGCAAAAGCAAGGACGTGGAGACTTACAAATATCGCGCGGCTGGCGGTTGCCGTTGGGAGGAGGCTGGTTGTTGGTGGTAGGAGGAGGAAGGCCGTTGTCGTTGGGGGGAGGCACATCATTGCTATAAGCCGACTTGTTAGGTTGATTCAAAAAAGAAAATTGAAAGGTGAGAACGTACTCGACTGGCGGAGGAGGCTGATTATTGTTGTTAATTCTACCGTTTCCGTTGTCCCTATCGCGCGACCAGAAATTAGATCAACAGCTCAAGGATTAAAGAAGATGCTACACACCCTTGAGGCGGAGGAGTGTTGTTGTTGTTGTTGCCGCCAGGACGACCGCCAGGCTGTCCCTGACGCTTCTCGAACGCCTCAGCGTCTCGCGGACGATTGACGGGCGGGGGAGGCGGAGGAGGGCTTTACAGGACATAAGACGGGTGTCGAGACGAAAAAGGAACACTCACTTCTGAGGGGGAGGAACTTGACGAGTTTCTAGAGCGTTCTCCGACCGCGGACGAGGACGCGGAGGGGGGATCCTGTTAAGTAAAAGGGATGCATTAGCTAACGTAGATTCAATTTAAGACGCAAATACACACCTCTGAGGAGGTGGAGGCGTAACTTGTCGTCTCTCTAACGCTTCCTCAGAGCGCGGACGAGGCGCAGGAGGTGGTGGAGGTGGGATAGCAGGAGGTGGCGGGGGTGGGACCTGTCGTGCCCCCAAGGAACGCGGGTTCTTAGCCGCAGCGGAAGCGGCAGCACGGCATTGCGTCGCCTGTGCATTACATTGAGCGGTGGGTACTTTCGCGTTCAAGCAATTCTGTAGCTGGAGGGCGCAGGAGGCTGCCAGAGCAGACGCGAGGTCGGCGAATGACTGGCTGCCTGCGACTTGGAATCTCTGGCCAGAGGCGGTGACTGCGGGAGGCTGGCGGCCCACTATACGTGCTCGTATTAGAGGTGGAGAAAGGAGGTAAGACGGGAGGACTTACAAGCACCACTAAACGGCTGGACGTTGCCTCCAGCGGGGGCACGGCGTATGTTCCTGCCTCGCAAGCTCCTACTCGATTGATTAGCCGACTATGCGATCGTAAGAAAAAAATAATATTTACTTAGGACTATTGTCCTTAGCCGCCTCTTCAACGAAAGGAGGAGAAGCATCTGGGTCCGACACCCCAGCAATGGCAGCACGGCATTCGACGTCTTGCTGGTCGCACTGCGCCAGAGTAAGGCCTGGGGCACGGCCGTCGGCCGAGTTGGCAGCGTTGGTGCATTGTGCCTTCAGAACATCGCAGGAGGCGGCGAGTGCAGAGGCGAGGTCGGTGAATGTTCCTTTGCCTTGGACAGTGAAGCCGTCATCGCCTCGGACGACGGAAGGTGCTGCATCTCCGCCCACTAGTGGATTAATTGATGTTAAAAGATGTATGAAGATTGTCGGAGACGAAGCTTACAGTTACCAGTGAAAGGCTGGAAATTCTCTTTCGAGGTAGTAGTGGTGGCTTGCGGAATTGGCGCCGCAAGACCGGTGGATAAAATGCAAGCGAGGGTTAGAAAGGAAGTTAATTTGTCGAACATAGTGGCGATTAGTGAATAAGCGAGTGATTCGGAATGCAGGCAGTGATAGTGAAGGTGATAAATATTCCTGTAGTGAAGGAGTTAGGTGGGTGTCCGGATCTCGACGAAAGAAGAACATACTGGGCGAGGAAGAGAAACAAAACCGGTCTTAAGCTGAATAGAGAACGAATGAAATAAGTTGTTGATGGAGAAATAGACACTTGCGATCTTCATTTATATACCTCTCGCAACATCTGTCCTCCAAAGAGCGACTAGCTGCACTGACTTGCGGACCCTCGGTGGAGGATACGATGAGTGCACGGTGAAGCGGGCTTCGGGTGACCTCCGCAGCGAGCATGGAAGCCTAATGTCAATGGATTGTCGTTAGGGCACCGATGTGCTCTACACAGAGTATATAGGATAGAGGACCATACGATGATCAGCTAGATCCTAAACGACACAGCTTCCAAGACCTTGCATACGGGCGCCAACTAAATGCTGCGCGGCGCAGTCTTCACTGTTTCGTGCTTGGCAACGGGGGCGCGTAGAGCTACCCGCAGCTTGCATATGACCAGAACAGGAGATCGTCGCTCGAACCCTTGCCCCGGCCGAGCTGTCGCACCTCCGAGGAAGAGGACTCGGTTAGCCCGGGCAATGGCAATCTGTGGCCTTCTGAGGACCTATGCATAGGCGTAGATGTGAGGGAATTCGGAGTATGGTGTGGTTCTGTGGACGTGTTTCGAAGTAGAGGTGATTGAATTGCTGGTTATGAATATTCGTCCAATCCACCGCCATGACGAGGACTGACTAAAAGAACGTGATCTTAGCATTGTCATTCGCAAGCGCTAGACGGGTATAACGTCGCCCACAGCACCTACAAGCCCGGATAGGCAAGGGCTCGTGAGACGTTGGTTGCCCTGCGCTTCTTCGATCGAATGTGATCATTTATAGGTGCACATACACGTGAATCGACCGAATGCCTAGCAGCAGCTGACGACACTTCGCAGAGCGTGAAAAAGTAAACCTTCCCCCGTTGCTGCAGAGCTATAGATAGGAAGAGAGGATATTGTCGAAAGTGCATCGTTCATTCGCTTTGAAAGAGTAGAGAAGACACTAGTAAGGTGGACGGTGTCTTAGGACTCACACGGTCGAGCAGGATGAACATGATTGTTTGTAACAAACTAAGCAGCCAATGGAAAGCCAGGAAAAAGCGGTCGGCTAATCCCGAACGCTCCTCACTTCCCTGAAGAGGCAAGTGCGCCGAAGCGCCGCGACCTCAAATGCCGACTGAACGCCGGAAAACCAGTGAAGGCAAAGATGGTCGTAATGAGAAAGAAGCTTAGGTTTTCCAAAAACAAGTCAAAATAGTGTTCACTTGAATGACATACATAGCAGACTACCACGAACCGTGAAGCGCTTCTAAATCTAAAAGGATGTGCTTGTATAAATAAGCCACCAAGAAAGAGATAGGTTCCGGAGGCAAAAAGGGAAAGGTGTCACGAGAGAGTGTAGCAAATGGCGGTAGTAGAGAAGGTCAAAGGTGACGTAGAAGAAAACACCCGCAATGCTGTCACAGCTGACACCGTGGACTCAAGTTCTACCCCACCCCGATGGCTGCCATCATCCTCCATGCTAATTCGCAAGAGGCGTCGTGTATATCCCACTCACCAGAACCCCGGCACGTTTCTGCTATAGTTCATCAGAAAATTGTCGTCCGAGACAGAAGGAGAAGGGGAAGTGGAAGGATATGAAGGAAAGACGCACATCGTTGAAACAAGCACACGGCCGGAGTTCCAAAGTGCTGTCCGTACATCAGAAAAGTCTCCGAGATACGAAATACCGTTGTGACTGCCTACGATTTAACACCACAGCACCAAGTCATTCCAACCGCTCACAATATGGCTTCCATATCCTTGCGACATGGCAAAGCATCCCAGCGGGCGTCGTGACGCACATGATCTGCCGGCTCGAACCCGGTTGGAGACGGGATTCGACGCGCTGGAATAGAGCTAATGTCAATAGGTATAGGTAAGGATACAAGATCTACCAAGATTGAGTTCGATAAAAGTTGTGGGTCCATCAAGTTCCTCGTCACATGTGACTCTGAGTCTATTTAACTGAGACGTCGACCTCCTGTTCACAATAAGTTGTGATGAGGAAATTCCGACCTCCTTCCTTTCGTGCGTACTCTACTCGAGCGAGCTTTCCCTTGACACACGAGATCAACTTTCCGTCTTATTGGCCCTCCCGTGGGGCGGCTCTCCACCAGCCTGACACGCCACCGCCTTACACGATCCGCGCTCTCCCGCCCACAGCACAATTTTCGGTACAAGAGGCCATTCACACCGGTCATGGAAAGTGGTCCCAAGTATATCGTGGAACTATGGCTACCTCTTCCCGGGAAACGACAGAAGATGTTGTGCTAAAAATCTACTGCTCGAATTTATTCCCACAAGAGGACCCAGATACTTCTCTCGCATCGCTCTTTGGCAGGGAAGAGGCTCCTTTGTATACTGAGGATCTCATGTCTTGGACTGAGGTGTGGGCTTATTGGAAACTCGTCTGCTTGCAGGGTTCCCTCGTCCCGCGCTTGTGCGGCGCCTTCATGGTACGTAACACACCTAATCTTGTGGCTATAATTTTCGATAATCCCAAACAGGTCAAGGTACCAGAAGAAGGCAGACCAGCAAATCATTTTGCCGTGGTGATAACCCCCGTCAATGGCACTTCCAACATTACGCGCTGCAGAGCACTCGGCGGCTTGCTAAATGGTAACAGGAGGTGGTACCCCCTCGTAAGGCGGCGGGCGCCTATCTATTCCAGGCGAGACGCCGTTGACTGACATGTTCACATCACTGACAGGCCCGAGATCTGTTCAAGAGCGTGTATCAGTTTCACCGACTCGGTATTTGCAACCTAGACCTACGTGACGAGAACATCAGAGTGGTTCGGTCTGCTGGGAACACTGAATCCCTGGTGTTCTTCGACTTTGCGTCTGCACGTCCATCGTCGTTTGGCAGTTCTGAACAGAAGACAGATGTTCAGGATGCTCTGGATCGTGATTGGTGGGATCTGTACACCATTATAGCCGAAATTTGCGTGTACAGGACCAAGGATGGGGATATCGTTGCAGCGGATCAGAGGCGTTGGGATTTCGTGAAGTGGTTGAGGAAGGAACATCACCGTGACGAGTGGCTCGTTGCATGGGATTCCAGACTGGACGCAATGAAGCCGCGTGAGGGGGTTGTAAGTACTAGTACTAGTAGGAAAGATTCGACGGTCTCCTAATCATTTATGTAATTATAATTACCCATGTTCGACTGCTAATGAACAAATGAGGCTACTATGACAAGTTCATTCAAGATAAACGCCCGCTGGGGTATGTTGTCGCTTTGTTGAAGGCTAGACGTTCTGGAAGCCTAGAGACTGACCTTGCATTTAATATTCAGACAGCGCAAGCAATATGAGTAGATGGAATGAATGAAACACAGCAGGCAACAAAACTATCAGAAAACGTATCCAGTGGCGCCAGGGATATGCTGCGACACTCGGCCAGGCGAACCATCGTTGTGAATGGCTGGATGATCTACGCGTAGGATAGCAGCTACCGTCTACGTGACCTCAGCTGTAAGAAGAGGAGCTCTGCGCTAGAACAGAAAATTATGAACGGGATATACCCTGTCAAAATACGTTTGAGCTGAAGCGCAGCCGTAAACGCTCCCTCAATGTTCAAAGCTGGAGAGAGATGAAATGATGAAAAAAAACTTGTAGTTTTTTTTCATCCATATTTAGCAGCGCTTGTAACTTCAGTCCGAGGCCATCGGGTTCAGATCCGCATCCACGAACCAGCGCAGGTGGAAGAAAGAGAGCAGGCAATCACACGTAGCAGCGTCCACATAAGATATCGTCGAAGCGACATTATAAAGAGATCACGACGCCGTCTAACCCCAGGGTCTTGAAGCCTGAAGCTTATCACGAATCCAGTTCTCTGGCCATTGGCTGAGGCTCGGACTCTGCTTCTAATTTGCAAGACTCGTCGCGCATATCCCACTCGCCAAACACACCGGCACGTTTCTATCAAGCGTTATCAGCGACTTCGCGTCCAAGGCAGAATGAGAAAGAGAAGTGGAAGGATATGAAGGGGAAACGCACATCGTTGAAACACACCGCCGGACTCCCAAAGTGCTGTCCGTATATCTCAGCGGGCGTCGTTACGCACATGATCTGCCAGCTGGAACCCGGTTGGAGGTTCTCAAGACGGGATTCGACGCGCTGGAATTGAGTCAATATTTCGAATGAAAGGTAGAAGGAAATTTGAGAGAAACGTACCCTAAACGGAAGTGGGGTGCCGGTTTCAGAGACGGAAGTAGTGCATCCCTGGGTGTAGATGAAAGATAAGAGACAGGGAAAAAGAATTTTGGTGGTGAATGCCACGTACCAAATCGCTAAACTCGCCCCATTGCGTCAGACAATCGGGCTCTTCAAAATCGACGATCCAATATCCATATACACCTCTTCCGAATCCCTGAGTGGCACCATGGTCAACGTAATTCGATCAGAGTAGAACACTACACCAATAGTTGCTCAATACTTACCAAATCCTGACAAAAATCGGTGGATAGCAACCTCCCATGAATCTCAACCGGCGTATCCCTACATGCTCTCATCATCTCCTGACGACTCGCCGCCGTGTTCGCCGACTCAGAGAGCGATAAACGCGCGGTGTACTCCCTTGTTGCAAACCTCAAGCAATGCTCGCCGCCTTTGAGGTTCTCCCATGACGCTTGGAGGCCACTAGAGAGGTCTAAGGACTGAGAAGCCGGATGTTTGGAGAGGGTTGAACCAAAGTCGTTTGTCAAGACAAGGTGGCGTAGGGCAGGGGCGTATATGGTGTTTGGATAGGCGAGACAGAAGATAGTGAAGGCGAGGACGAAGCATGTGAGAGTGCAGGCAGTCTTGAATACAGCGAAAGCCGGAGGCAGATGAAGCTGGGTGTGTGTCGGCAGTTCCAGAGAACTTTGAGGGTGGCGGTACCATGATTGCGATTCTCCGGGATGTCTGAATGGTCTAGAAGAAACAAGTAGATAAATAGTCGAACGTCGACAGGAAACACGAGGCTTACGAAGGCGGCATTTCGGTCCTATACATAGATATACCGGTCTCTCTGAACACCTGCAATGCTTGCTGAGCGTTCTGCCAATCACGAACGAAAACACGTATTCAACGGCGAAAACTCCTCACTGCGAGAAGCGAAGCAACGACGGGGCAGATGCTCAAAGGTCCCCAAGCAGCATCACGCCACCCATGCTATGAGGCCTAGTTATGAGCTGGCGGGCTCCTGAAGCTTGCTGATAAGGCCAACGGTGTGCGTTGAACGGGGAGCAAAATCTGAACGCAATCACCCTTCGAAGGTGAAGATGACGGCTTTGGTGCGTTCGAAATGCCACACTCGTGCGTTGGAAGGACGGCATTGATGACCAGGTGTGATTAGGCTTACCTATATGGTGCTGCGGTGCTTCAAGCTTCAGGTGGTAGATGAAAGTATGGAAGCCTTAAGATAGCGTGCGGGTGGTTCGAGGGCCAAGCCTGCCAGATTGGACGTAGCTTCTGACGTCTTCGATAAGACTCGCGACCCGTGCCGCTGTATTCGAGGAAAAATAGCAGATAATTTATTGTCCTCGAGACGCCTGTAAATTCGAAGAATTTCAACCTGGGCCGAAGGTTTCAAAGCTTCAGAAAAAAATCGTCCACACTTACGACCGGAAAAGCCACGAGGCCGAAGGGGAAGCCTTGATTATTGTGCATGTCTGATCTGTGACACAAGCACGTAGTACGTTAGATAAATGAAGAACTCCAGCATTCCAGCGTTGAAAGCATATGTTGAGCGTCGAGAACATCTCCGGAATTTGGCACTACTGTCGTGATCATCGTGGCAGGAAGTGAAGGGTTTTTCGGCAAGCTTTCGGCAACTTGGGGGTCTTCCTGGAAGATGCCGGTGGCTGTCCCCATGATCACCGATGACAAGGGGCTCCTTTCTACCCACAAACCACCACCATAATTCCTCTATCTTCGACGTCGTTACGACCATGATAATCGGTCAGCTTTCAGCATATCTTTAGCGGAATTCTGTACTCACATCTCTACAGAGTCTCAGGCTAAGAGTGCAGAACTCCTCCCGAAGTTAGTGTCTTTGTATCCTCCCAAGCCCACCGTCCGACTCATATCTCTGCCAGTTACGAGACGGCTACAAGAGGGTCGCGGTAGGTCCAACTCTCCCATCTGAAATACGCCTATGTGCTGACTGCGGGACGAGCCCAGGCAGCCTCCGCAAGTCCCGCTAATCTACACGTTCACGAACTGGCAGCATGGCTCCATGCTGGTGATGCCTCCGCGAGACGCACCTTCGCAGCAACCTCTATACCGGATAACAGTGGACCTTGATCTGAACCCTTTCCTGCCTGTGTCGTACAACACGCGGATAATGCGGTGTGGGAGGAGGGAGGGAGAGGTGGTGGGCGAATTTGCGTGAGTTTTGCGTTCGTCCTTGTTGTGCTTGCGTCTTGACGTCTTGTTCGTGGTTAGGTTCGCCTTGAACAATAAGCGTGCAGTACTACGGATGGGAGATCTTACGACACGACTATCGAATGCGCTATACAGCGTCAATTCATCACCGGTGCGCATATGTGCTTTCGTTACGTCCAAGTCCAACTTCATGACTTCCTCCTTCTAGCGTCATTTTAACTGGATCCTTGAGAACCGTCTACACTGGGATTGCCGGTCGTCTCTACCCGATGGTTCACCTCTGTGTATCGTGAGTACTCTGTCCTATCAAACACTGCCCAAGTATCGTTATACTCGTGCTTCTGGCTTCCTAGTTGCATAGCCTTGGCTGCGCTTGCGACGTATTTGGTGCTGGAGTGCAGCGAAATCCTCCGAACACTTTCGGATACCAGGCGATATCGTCGTCCTTTCCTCACCTGCTTCTTCCTTCGTCCTAATTTTCCACGGCCGCTTAACCCCCCCCCCCTAGTGCTACCTCCCATCTCCGCAAACCTCTTCCGACCCGCGAGCGCCCGCCTCAGCTTCCTCCGGCCAATCAGTACAGGTTGCCACTTTCGTGCCGCCACCAGCCGACGCATCGCCTCCGTTGCCCGATGCCACGCTGACGGTGTTCCCGGGCGGGTTCGCGATCATGGACGAGATCGTCGTGTCGGCGTTGGTTGTCGAGAGGATGTTGACGAGGTAGTCGGTGTGATTCGGATATGGATGGTGTTCGTGATACTTAGTATGTATGTTTGCTTTTTGTATATTATATCTTTATGTTTTTTTTATGTCATCCCTTTACTCTACGGAGCTTCCTCGATGGATCTTCCCTCTTACTTGGATTGCCCCGAGATCGGGTTGAGATGTTCGTCCTGCTTGCCTAGGCGTATGCCTTCACTGAGGGTAAGCAAAGCTTACATTTTCGCGTTTTCATTTGGTGGCTGACTGGGGCTTTTGGTAGATCTCGATTCTTGTGTGTGTCCGGCACTGCACATATTGACAGCGAGGGCCCTACTTACCTAGTCTTGCACCAAGATCGTCAAATCTATCACTACAGTGGAGGCCGAGGACCCCTCGATCTTTAAGGTTCCCACCCAAGCTCAAGCCCTACTTTTACCTCCGCCTTGTTGGCACTCCCTTCGCGTCATTCGGTAGCCCTTTCCCCATATACTTGGACACAAAATTTATGTCGAGAGCGGCAGGGTGCCGACGGCGTACATAACTCGGGACTTACGCTAAATCATCGCTGCTAGCGGAACATTGCATTCGAAGATTGGCGCGCTATCGTCCCTGGGTTATGTCCACTACCCAAGGTAGCCTAAGTTCGTCATTTCATCATAGTCCAGCCTTAACAAAACTGATAAACACCTCTCTAGATGCCCCGTTTCTTCGTTAATCTGTCGATCAGGTCCAGTATCAGAAGAGACTCTCACTATCACGTCAGCCGTCGGACACAAGCAAATTTACCAAAGCGTCCGTCCAATTCACAGACAAGACATCTTCTTACCAAGAGTCGGTGAGTACTACTATTATAGCCTTGGTGATTCCACGGAGCCGTTAAGTTCGATTGAATCTTATCAGACGGCGGGATGATCGTGCAAAATCCTCAATATGTATACATGCTCGACTAGGGAAGGCGTTCCTTGGTAAGTTTACAACAAACTAGGCGGATACCTCCTTAAGAAGTGTACTTCCTGCCCCCTGTGATAGAAGTGCTCTCAGAGTCGACCTACGCTCCTCCATGTCTTGGAGCGCTTTTATATCGGCTCATCACCTATAAATAATTCCGCTGCCCATGGCAAGGCCAAGTATCAGAAAAGAAGTCTTCAAGATGTTAATCAGTCCGTCTACTAATCGCCCGAGTACTTTAAATCCCCGACGGGTGCTACCAAACCCCTCAAGTGACTGGCCGTTTCCCCCTGTGCTTCACCCCAAGCATGCTCGTCTCTATCGATTTCAACAACTTCCACTTCCAGTCGAACGAAAACCTCGGTGCAATAGAGATCGGGACTTTCCTCGGCCTTATCTTATTTGGGATCCTCCTCGGCCAGGCGTACTCGTACTTCGGGCGGAGCAGGAAAGACAGATTTGCTCTGAGGCTTCTGGTACGCGAAGGCGAACCCTCAACCTTGTCCCTGATGTTCTCCCGGCTCACTGTAAAATCCAGGTTTCGATTCTAGTGTACGTCACGGGTGACCCCACGAGCGCCTCAAATGCACCTAGACTCACCCACAGGTGGATAGGCTTCTGGAGTTGGTTCATACACTTTTGCTCGCCGCATCCATCTACTACGACACGGTAACAACCTGGGAAGCGCCGAGGACGAATACATACACTCTTTCCACGGCGACATTCTTCGAAAATCTTATCACCATCATCGTCCAGGTACTTTGATTCCCGTACATTATTTTCTCCGGACTGACTTTTCGCTCTTCATCAGTTATGTTTCGCGCACAGGATACACCGTCTCTCCGACAAGGGTAGACCGTCTATGATCGCACTCATCTGTGTCGTCCTGGCCGTGCTTCGCTTCGTCGGAGCATTCGCGGTCGGCGTAGAAGGAATGCTCGACGTCGCACACGATGGGGGCACGGGTGTCTTCGTAGTTCGCGTCAGCTGGCTGATAACTTCGACCCTGTCTGTTGGGGCAGCTGCGGATGTCCTGATAGCTGCCTCGATGATCTACTACCTTCGTCGGCTATCTTCTCCGACCCATCTACGCAGGACGACAGATATTCTCAACCGTCTGACAAGGTGGACTGTTCGTGAGTTTTTTTCGGCCCGTGCATCTATTTACAGTAGTAACGGTTGATTTGCAGAAACTGGGCTCTTGACGAGGTGTGTTCTTTTCACGATCTTCGCTACTGGTACTGAGCTTGCCCTCTTACAGCCTCGCTCATGTAGCCGCTATCTTATGCGTAGGTTACCTGCTCACTCTCACCGGTTTTTCCGTTGACGGAGTTCGACAGTTTCAAACGATAGGAAACCGTAAGTAATGCCTATTCACGGCCGCCGACGACGGACAACGTTGTTTAATCTCACAGTCGTCTGGCTCGCCATCTACATTGTTCTTGCCAAGTGTAGGCATACGTTCATCGCAAATGAAATGCATCTTCTGACGAATACCTTTATTCTATAGTGTACTCAAATTCTTTACTCATGATGTACGTTTCATTCCTTCTACCCATTATTCCCAATATCTCATGCATAGAATTTCGAAGATTAAACGCGAGGCCCGGAACCGGGCCTCTAACCCTCAACGAAACAACAAGCATCGAATTTGGAGGGACAACTTCTGGAACGAGGACAGTGGTATGCATGATCTACCTGTATTCTGCATAAGGATCTTTTTCATACGTCATGGCACTCTAGACGACCCTCCAACTATCACACCTCCACCACGATACTTCGGAAATTCAAGTGGATGTCACTGTCGATAAAGCATAGATCACTTCCGCCTCTGTTCAGCACCGGGTTGACCACCAAACTTTTTAGACTTAAGATAGGAAGAACTGTATATCTTAGCAATCGGAAGCGGACATAACTTATAAGGACGACAGAGGCTGCCATTGTGTCTCGCTACTACTTAGTATGCTTGTGCGAAACGGGCCTTCATTGTGTCCAATCTGGAATCCCATGCAACGACCCACTCGTCATCCTCCATCCCTACTCACCGAATCCGCGCTCGAGCAGGTTCCGTCTCCCTGATACTAGAATCCCTGTACCTTGAGAATGTCTTTGGTGGGTCCCTCCAGCCCAAAAATCTGTTCGCATGCTTACCATAGCACAGGAATTTCCGAAGAGGTACCTGTTCTCGAACCTCTTCTCCGTCTCAGAGTGGGATCCAAGAGTGCCATGGTTCCGCAGCTGTACGCATTCCTCGCGTTCGTGCTATCTGTATCGCCGTGCTGCATAAACGTAAATGGTGCACTGGCTGAGGCTCATGCGCGCATATTAAACGGCGATCGGGTAATTGGGAATCGACGTCCAGGGCCCGGAAGCGGATACATGTTGCTCTAACTGTCCCAACCTCGCCCTGAAGCGTCATTGGCCTTTTTCATTGGCACTATTGATTTACACCCATTCCGAGAGCGGGATGAGAAGGCAAGCGATCTCTATAATTCGTTCATCATAGCCCAGATCGGCCATCTGTCCGACGCTTACCATAAAAGGCAGGTGCGCCTCGCGAACAGCGACTTCGCCAGCGTCGTTGCCATGCGTCAGCGGCCTCGGTGATGCTATAAGGCCGTCAGTAGGCCCGTTTCTTCGGCGCTTCCTCTTGGGTTTGAGATTTTTCTCTGTGTGTGCTAATGCTCGATTCTCCTTTCGCTCACTCAGAATACTGGTGGCATCCGGAGCTGCCCCATAACGCCAACTTCGTCGTACGAGGATCCACTTGAGCCAGAAATTCCAGGAACATTGGCTATAGCACTTGTAAGTAAATCGTACTTCTTGAGCCCTATTGTTGATATTGCTCACCTGCCGAAGGTACCTGCTTTTTGGGCTATCATGATTTTCATGCGGTGAACCTTACTCAAAAACATTTGAAGCACGACGAAATGAAAAACACACGAGGACAGCGGAAAGACAAAGTGAGTGTCGATCGAGGCTCGCACTGGTGTAGAGCTGAGAGAAACCAAGAAGATACAGTTGCAATGACGAACATCCATGACAAGACACTCAGGGGTACTTGTACGATGTCAGCCTTTACTAAAGCGGATAACACACGTTTTCGAAGACCTGAGACTGTTGATCCCTGCGACCAATTTCATTTTCGTCCTGGAGGTTCGAAGGTCAGAATCTCAGATTTCCTTTCATGAGGCGCCTTTTACATCTGCTACTTATCAGCTCAGCTGTGGATCGCCACGAACGCCAGTCGGAATCTTGGCCCCCAAGTTGCATTTCCATCGCACACGCGAAACCCGACATGTGGTATCTCTCCTCCCGTTCTCCTTGTAGGCTGAGCCCCTCGCGACAGCTCCTCTTCTCAATCCAAAGCATCAGCGTCGCGCTCCCCGGCACCTATCCACCCGCGCCGGCGTCGATCTCATCCTGAGCCGAGATCAATTCCAATAACCCAGATGACAATATCATCGATAATATAAAACCTGCAGGCTGCGGGGTGGCCTTACCCGGATATTCCCTTCTCTGCTTCGCTTCACCCGTTCGTTTCCCAAGACAGGCTCTTGTCTATTCTCTTTCCTCTTACCGACTGGTATGTGCTGCAATATCTCTCGAGAAGACTGCCATACTTAGTTTCGCAGGCCGCAGGCGTTCATTCTTTCAACTTCATCTACACTCCCTTAAGCTTCTCCACGGCCGTCGCTATGTTCTACCGATTTGCGACATTCCTTGTTCTTGCCTGCTCTTTCTCCACTGTCTTCTCTGCCCCTGTTCAGCGGCTTGCAATTCTTCGAGGTACTTCATCAAGGCTTTTGTGAAGGCCTCGGGCTGACGATTGTGCATGGAGATATCGAAGGAAAAGTTGAAGCCCGTGGGGCACGTCAGGGAAACCCAAACGTTAGGTAAGTCGTCACGTATCATCATCTGTCGCACCGTCTTATTTATGGCCGATAACTTCCAGGCGGCAGGTCGATTGCGCTCCGGGTGAGCTGTGCATTCACATCGAAGGGAAACTCCTCATTTATCTTTCCTAGTCACCATCACCAGGACTGTCACTGTCGACCCACCTGCCGCCACACCTGCCACTCCACCAGCTGGGTACGCCTTTTGTTTTGAGACCGATTTGGTTCCACCTGACGTCCTGAAAGCAGCGGAAACAATGCACCTGCAGCACCTGCTGGAAACCTCCAACCTTTTGCCGGCGCACGTAAGTCGTGTTTCGGATTATTTCATCTCCATCCTCTGACATTATTTATCTCAGTCGGCGGCCAACGTGCCCCCGCTGTAACCCCGGGCGGGCGCGGATTCCAAGTAGAGAACAACGCATCGTTCCAAGCGCTCCAGAACGCACTCCAACGTTCGTGCGACGTACAGAAGAATCTCTGTGCCAACGTCGCGAACTCCGCGTCTGGAAGGGATTCTGGGCTCACCGTAGGCCAGTGCGACCAGCAGGGCGACCAGTGTCGGGCAGGTATCGCCTCAGCCGTCGCGAACGGCGGTGCTGCTCAGCAAGCTCCAGCACAGGACCAGAATAACCAGGCCGCCACTCCGCCTGCTGCCCCAGAGAAGTGCGTATTTTGACGATGGAAGTCGCATTTTGACCTCTTACGTCTTGCACTCGTATAGTGCTGCGAACAATGGCAGCAGTGAGACTACCGGCGACACCGTCGCAACCGCAGGGAATCTTCAATCCTTCGCTGGCGCTCGTGAGTTTCCCTCATTACAAAATACATTTTTCTTCTTTGACCTGTTGAGCCCAGTTGGCGGTCAGAGAGCACCTACCGTTACCCCTGGCGGCCGTGGCTTCCAGGTCGAGAACAACGCTTCCTTCCAAGCCCTCCAAGACGCTCTTCAACGCTCGTGCGACGTACAGAAGAACCTCTGCGCCAACGTCGCCAATTCTAACGCTGGACGCACCTCGGGTCTTACGGTCAACCAATGTGACGCGCAAGGCGACCAGTGTCGAGCGGGTATCGCTACTGCAGTAACTGCTGGTACGACCGGTGGTGCCGCTCAGAAAGCACCTACCCAGAACCAGAACCAGAACAACCAGGCTGCGGGCCCGCCTGCTACCCCAGCAAGGTGCATTTATTCTAAGACCTGCACTATTGATCTGACATCCACCTAAGTACTGGAAACGCAGGAGGTGGTAATCTTCAACCCTTCGCTGGGGCCTGTCCGTATTTTGCTCCCGCTCTCTCTAACATATATGATAACTAACGTCGTTCATATCCATAGTGGGCGGCGAGCGTGCGCCTTCGGTCACAGCTGGCGGGCGTGGTTTCCAAGTTGAGGGCAACGCCTCGTTCCTTGACCTCGCCTCGGCGCTTCGCCGTTCATGTGACGTGCAGAAGAACAAGTGCGCGAACGTCGCCAACTCCGATGCCGGTCGGGGATCTGGTCTCACCGTAGGACAGTGCGACCAGCAAGGCGAGCAGTGTCGTGCAGGTATCTAGGTTTCCTTTTGCACGCTAAGGAATTATGTTAGAGACAATAATAGGTTATACCCTCTGTCTTCCAAATTTTAATATTCGAATCTAAGTAAAGGGACAGAGGAAATCAAATGTATCACTATAAGAAACAGCTTCCTGAATCTTTGGCAATGGGTCGTCGAAGTATCCTCAAGCTTTCTCTGGCTTCCCTACTTGGAGTCATGTCGCTGTATTAGTCATTTATCTGTCATCCTTGGTAACAGAGTATTTTAGAGTCACTCAACAAGGCCAACGACTCATCTAAAACGAGCCCAATTCGCCTATGCACCGTTTCGTCGGACAGGTGTAATCGAAATTGAGTGGCGCACAACATGTGAATCCACTGGTGATGGCGTCCTAGCATCTTACGCAGTTGTCTAATGTATGAGAGCGTATCGGACTTGAGGAAAGGAGGCTTATTGTTCCATTTTACACAACTAATATCAGGTGATACTGCTAAAGACCGGTATTCCCAGCTTCTTTGCAGCTACAGATTGACTGTAAGAGCCAGCGATGTTCTCGCAATAGCAAAAATTTGGGCTGGGGCATTTGACTCGACCCCCACCCCATCCCACCAAAGTCCCTGCGTAACGAAGATCTGAGGCAGTGGCTCGGAGATACGCAGCCTGCAGCTGTGCAAATTTTGGGCAGTCATTCGAAGTATGATTTGGGCCAAACAGTGAGCACGCATGGAGCACCACTTCATGCCAGTAGTTGTAATAACGAAGCTGCCAAGAGGATAAAGAAAAAGTGCAGAAAGAAGGAAATTACACCATACCCATCTAGCTAAAAGGCCGGGATGCGTCAACCCCAACGAAATCTCCAGGAAGGAATGCTTGAGAGTTTTCGGGGCTACGTCATTTGCGAGGTCCAAGTAATTAGAGGCTTTGCGCAAAGCCAGCTGGAGCCAGTGGTGGCTCAAATGCGTTGCGCTGAGACCTTTAGCCAGCAGAACCTGAATATCAACCCGATGAATGCCATATATTAATATTACTTACATCTCTCTATAACCTCGTATTTCCTGGAGAGCTCCACGCGATATCAGTCTGTGGGGGTGGTTGATCAACGGTTGATCACGGTTGATATTTTCTGCTGGCTCAGTTTCCATATATAGGTTAGTTTCTGGAGATTGTCGTAGCTGCACGGATGAATACAATGAAATACTTGCATTGTCATTGAACTCCCCTGGCATCCAGACATACATGGTACTACATAAGACTAAGTTAAAAGCATAGTCACTAATTGGCCGCTACTGGCTACACGACACAGCGCAACGTTTTTGAGCCAGCACTGGCTCCAGCTGGCTTTGCGCAAAGCCTCTATTGTGTCTATCGCAATGGTTGAGGATCTGAATAGGATGGTTGTCCGTTAATTGGCTAAAAAGAAGGTGCGGATGCTTTTGATCAACAGTCTTGCAAAGATGTGACAAGGAGAGGAGACGCACTGCATACGGGTGATACATGTGTTCATCGCCCCAGAAACGATATACTTTTCAGCTGCTTCTGCGAAAGAAAAAAACAAGTCGCGATCCATGGCCACCACAGATGGTTGTCGGTAATTAGACTCTGGACAGGGGTGGATGAACTGGAATAAGATCTCCAAGACCTTCTCGGGTTCTTGAAGTTGAATGTGTTCATCATCAACCATGGTCGACTCCGGTACAGCGAACCCCCGAGCACTTGTGGCCAAATGGGCGCGGTATATCTTGAACAAGACGCTGTCAGAGGACTTGAAGGTGATATCTGCTGCACCGTCGCCGACTGCCAACGCAAGGAATTCGCGGATGGAAGGAAGAAAGGAGAGCACGACGGGCTTACACAAGGTAGACACCCTTGGTCCAGAGTCTGCAGCATCTGCCACCGTGATACCTTCTGACATAGTGGATGTAGTTGCGGTAGAATATTGTGGGCGTCTTACAGATCGTGCGATAATCGGTAAGTTTGGTCGGAGGTGTCACATGTTTGGTTTCTGATCACCGGGCGCTTAAATCTAATTATAGACCTCAGGCTGTTGCCACGAAATTGATGGATTATTCTAATTCGGACTTCCCAAAACAATTGGGTCGTGCTTCGGTTATCGCCTTTTGAACCATGACCGGTGTTTAGTTGAACCATGCCTTTGAGTCTGGATAAAATGTTTGTTCTGTGACATAGCGGCAGAGCATATTAAGGCCCAACAGGCATCCTTTTCTTGCCCGAGCATTCACCCACCCCTTTGAGAAAATTTCAGTTTGTTAAGGCACCGTCTCCTCAATTCTCTCACTCGCTTTGACTGAATTGAACGGATTTTGATTTCTGCCGAAGGGTATACTCAGGATTCTTCCAGGTGACAGTGTATCCCGGGCCTGGATGTTACCTACCAGGCGATGTTAGTAGATACCGCCATGGAGGAGGCTGCCCGACGACATTGTTTCCCGCGATCTTATTTCAGTAGCTCAGTAGAACGTTAGGACAAATGGGTCACATGGATCTCATGCTCTCGCTACGGCGGGTTGCATCTTCCAAGTGCCGGTGTGGTTACTCGCGCTCCTTCTTTCCTCTGATAACCGCTGGGAAATCATACACCTATGTTTCGGCGCTCTCGTAAGAGAAAAGGTACATTTCCCCGCACCGTGAAAGTCGTTCGCAACTGAATAGCCGAAGCGCTAACCACTTCAGAGGAGTGTTCTCGTCTGAATCTCATTGACGATGGCTCGGACGTTCGGTCGTAAGTCCCATTCCTGCGGGTCAATACCATGCTGTGAGTATTGAGAAGACAGCTGGTCGCTATTGGGCGTTACCTAGTCCTTGGCGTCGCACGTGCGACATACCGGAAATTTGCCGAAATTGGAACTGAGATGTCCTTTTTAGGTTAGATTTACGCTGCGGATACCTCCGTGTCCCTATTGACAACCAAGAAAGACTGCGGACCGCTGCGCCTTGTTAGCGCTCGCATCGCCGGATTCACGTGAGCCCTACCATCTGGACTCGAAATTAGCTAGTGGACTATCGTCCTCTTCCCTTTGAAGGGCGTGCGCCATAGCGACGATGACTCTTTGCGACTCGAAGGAACGGGATGACAGCTGCGGAACTCGTCTAAAGTCCCGACATAACGCAGATACGCGCTTGATGCTCCCGAGTTCGCGCAAAGGACTCGGGGAAGCGACACGACCGAGAACGCTAGGACCAGGGGTATATAAAGGATGGGCGAACGCTCGGTTCTCTATCAATAGTTCGTTTCCTTCCTTCCATCTCTAAGACTGGTTCTCGTTAATTACTTAATCCTTCATCATTTATCAGTAAGGAATTTACTGCACTTCACAGTCATGTAGCTGATCGCTGACTCTTCGCTTTTCTTTCTTTTAGAACTTCTTCCTTCCGACATCAGAGCCTCGCCACACAGACGTTCACTTCTTCGACAATCATTATAATGTTTGACAAATTCGCTACATTTTTGCCTCTCGCTTGCGCTTTCTCTGTCGTACTTTCGGTTCCACTTCCCCAGAATACTGGAAACAGCAACGAAAACCTCCAGCCTTTCGCTGGTGCCCGTGAGTCTCCTTCATAACCTGCACAACGGCTCCTCTCTGACATAGTTTTACAGTGGGCGGTCAAGGTCCACCTGCAGTCAGACGCGCTGACAGCGGCTTCACAGTGGAGGGAAAGGGAAGTTTCGACGACCTCGCTTCGGCTCTCGCCGCCTCGTGCGACATCCTGAAGACTCAATGCACGAATGCAGCCATCTCGGCCGCTGGTCGTGCCTCTGGCCTCACTCTCGCACAATGCGTGCAACAGGACGACGAATGCCGCGCCGCCATTGCGGCTGCATCGAATACGCCTACGACTCCTCCGATTACTAACACTCCTGCGACGAACACCCCTGCTCAAAGGTATTATTATCTATATTTTCTAGCTCAAGAACATTCGGCTAAAATTTCCAGCAGCGGCAATCGCCCCAACGCCCGAAACTACAGTAACGCGCGCCGCGCAGCTGGCGGTAATGTCCAAACGTTCAACGGCGCTCGTAAGTCTCTCGATCTATCACTTATTGCCTCGATATCCCTAACACGAAGTTCAGTTGGTGGCCAAGCTCCTCCCGCGGTCACCCCCGGCGGTCGCGGATTCCAAGTTGCAGGAGGTGACTCGTTCCCAGATCTCGCCTCCGCCCTCCGTCGCTCCTGCGACGTTCAGAGAGAGAACTGCTTGAACGCTGGCATCCCCACCGCCCAGTGCGACCCACAGTTGACCCAGTGCCGTGCTGTTATCGCCTCAACCCCAGGAGCCTCAACCACGACCCGTCCTCAGAACCAGGCCACTCGTCCCCGTTCCCCGCTCGGTAGACGCCAGGCTCAAGGACAAGGACCTCGTCCCAACGGAAACGGTTCTCAGAACCAACAGAACCAACAGAACCAGCAGAACCAGCAGAACCAGCAGAACCAGCAGAACCAGCAGAAGTATGTCCTCCGTCCGCATGATCTCCCATATCAGTCTCACGTCCTCTAAAGCAGGCCCAACAACGGCAATGGTGTTCCTCAACCTCCCCTCCCTACGACCACCACTCTTCCTCCCCCTCCTCCGCAGAAGTACGCCCTTATTTTCTCTCGTACTTGGGATAGGACTAAAATATTCCTCAGCAATGATAACAACGGCAACCCTCTTCCTCCCGCTCCGACCACCCCTGCTAACCGCCAGCCGTTCAACCCTCCTCGTGAGTATCCCTTGTCAAGCATGATTTTCAGATTTCATGCTCACCACTTGCTTCAGAGTGATCACGTTTCCGCCAGTCGGCCTCCTGTTTAATTCGCTCAACGCGAATTTCATGAATAAGACATGCAAAGATATCTCATCCTCTCGTTTTTATACATACCTAGCCAGACAGTCTCCTCGAGCAGAAGTCGGCCTAATTAGCAAGCGAATAAATCGATTTGAATAATTTATTGAACGTAAGAAAGTGAAATTCTCACTTGTGACCCAGAGCGTCGGGGCTATCTCTGAGCGCGATTAGATGATTTAGAACTCCAACCTTTCGCACATGAAGCGCGACGAGTACGACGAGTACGATTTCCGTTGTCAGTAGAAAAACGTTAGCAAAGTCGTGCTCGGACTGGCTGCCTGCTCAAGAGTTGTCAACATCTAATGTCCTTTCGACTAGGAGGTCATAACGGAACCAGGAGTGGTATATCGCTTATTGAGCATTGAAGTCTGACGAATAGGATGTCGGCTGAATATTCACAGACATCGGAAGGGCACAAAGGATGCGTTGAATGAAGGCATCATCCCTTTCAATGACAATCGAAGGCAGCCTAGAGTCCGAGTCGAGTAACACGTCCGAGTTCCAGTTCCTATTATGCCGCCCCATCCAACGCGCGGGTGTTAGCCTCGAGCTGTAGCCCAACCTTCCGCCCAACATGGCTCGCAAAACTCTCGAACAGGCTACGGTCGCGGCCAAATATCCACTGGAACTCCAGCGAATAGTGACTCTCTGCTATTTCCGCCTCGGCTGGGCGAAGCACACGGATGCTGCACGTCAAGGCCGGCTCTGCAGTGCCCGCACTCAAATTCGAAGCACCACCCTCGATCGTCTCGCTGGCATTGGACACGGTGGTGGAATTACCCTCGTTAACGCCGTCCTTGAGACGCGCCTTCTTCCGTCTCGCGCTCCTCGACCACGTATTCGCCCTCGCCTGCACAAAGAAAACACCTTTCTCTCCCTTCTCTGATTCCGAGCGCTCGATGGCGGTCACTCCATCGACGAGGCCCAAGACATCAGAGACGATCGTGCACACTCTTTCGAAGTCCAGGGAGGCGACTTCAGTGGATGAAAGAGGCTGAGAAAGGGTGTTCCGAGGAGGCATGAGCGGTAGAAGGGCGTGGTTCGACGGGAGGTTGGGTATACGGGCAATTGACTGAATAAAATTAGCCAGGAAGAGGATGGCAGGATTGCAGGATGGATGGAGACGAACATCTGGAAGGTGGCTATCGGTACATGACCATGCAATCGCCCAGCGCCGTGTTTGGCCTTGAACGAACTCTGTTATTGCATAATTCGTTATCTGTGGAAAAGTCCGAGATCAGGAAAAGGTACAGCAAAAGGAAAAGGATGGTCGTACCGATCGCTCGCGCAACATCTCCACTATCCGTGTCACGGAGGACATTTTGCCAAACATCGAGCTGTACCATCTACCAAACGCGATTTGCTATCAGACTTGACCCAGCAGTCGAGAAAAAAGAAGACACTTACTTACACCTTGTCTGGAACGTCTCACTTTCTTCCACCATTCTCCCTACAAAACCCGCCTCGCCTCCGTCTGAGTATATCATCTCGATGTCGGCGCCAGTGCAGACCTGTGAATGAGGACGAAAATTGAGTTCGAAGAAATATAGGAGGCAACGGAAAGGCATACAGCGTTTGGTGGCAACTCCTTCTCTCTTGCTAGATCCTCTACCTCAGCAGCACTGGCGTAGAATGGCGGGTTGCACATGCAGAAGTCGTACCTAAACACAACGAACATCGTCAGCTCTGACAGTCGGCAAGAGAAGCTTGCATACGTGCTTTGCGTCGCAATCTTCCAATGGAAACAAGATCCCTCCTTCCTTCGAGGCCTTCCGAACGTCGATCCGATTGTGCAGGTCGTTGGCTTCAACGTTATTTAGGGCGCAGGTGAACGATGCGTCGTCTATCTCTATCTCATCAAGAGTATGTACGAATACTCAAATAGATGAGGTCAGAGAGCGAAACGTACCTGTACCAACCATATCCCATGTCTCCTCCATCTTGCAAGCTAGAATCGGGTAGATCGCAGTTGCCCCTGTCCCGCTGAAAGCGATCATGAAAGTTAGAATTCATTCAGAGGGAGTTTGTGGTGGCTGATGCTTACACGTCAATCCCTCGTATCCTCCTGGGACGCGTCTCCAACACATCCCGATGTGCGTACACGATATCTTGGATCCAAAGAACGTAGTTCAGCCTACAAGAGCCAAGGTATGATAAATGATAGTCGAACGTGGTGGCCTTTCGCGATCGCACCTATTCGGAACCTGAAAAGGACAACGTTTTAGCTCTCAGGCAGCTGAATCGATACAAGGCAAGACACACTGGAGGGCATAACCGATCTTCAGGTATCTTGAGCCTCACTCCGAAATCGCCGAACATGATAGCCTCTGTCAGGCATCTAGCCTGCGCGAAAATCATTTCAATCCATTGAAAGGTTCCATAAAGGCATACCGCTGTGCACCGCCATCTTTGAAGTCTATCGTCTTCGTTTTCTCATGTAAGCTTTTTGCAAATTTCGTCAATCGGAATTCATAATAGCAAGAATCGATAAAGCTTACTATGGCAATAGAAGCGGATATGAAACTGCGAGGGCTACGAAATCTGGAGGGTTTCGGTAAGGATTTCGAGGATGCATGTAGTCAGCGAAGAGTAACTTAGTGGCCGCCGGTGATGGCCGCTGGTCTGAGCGTCGGTGATTGGCTGCGTCGGGTTAAATAAACAATAGCGCCGCCTAAAAATAGACTGGACAGCACAAGGCGCCTAAAGTAAGAACCAGGGGGGTGTCAGCCGAGATCCCACTCCCCTGAAAACGACGAAAACTAGTGTCCGGTGTCCTTGCCTTAGCCGGGCTAGTGCCAGGTGTCCCACACGCCACTTAGATCGATGCCCGCACCACCGACGTTGCTTTCAGGACATTGGCCGACGATTTATCATATCACACTTGGTCTGTAAGGCTACATATAAAAGTAAATATAGGGTATATAAATTCCTTCTTCCTCAAGCTGGTAGAGAGGGAATACAGGAAGCTTCCCACGGATGCTCTTGAGTGTAGTAGACAGTCCCCGTTTAATCCGTGAGGTTCGAGGCGTTGTTGTAGGACTGCCAGCTTCCGTGTCAGCGTCGGTTTGTGCGTCAGGTGGCCCTTCAATCCCATCGCTTCCCGGTATACTCCCATCCGTTCCTCTTGCAGGCGGCTAGCGTGAGTGCTCTTCCTTAGCTCAACGGGGACCGGAGGGAATGAAATTATACTTCCGGAATGTTTTTTGGCCAAGGGGGCAGAGGAGGGGAACATTGGTGCAGGGAGTGCTATCTGACGAGTTGAGCGCCGAGGAGTACCGCATTCCTGAGTAGTGGTATTCGAGATAGCTGAAGATTTTTTCTGTGGAGGGTGAGCACAATTTTGCATCCCTTTAAACCGCACCAACCGCACGGGTTGATGCCGATGGATGGAGCCTGTAGTAGAAATAAGCGCCCGCTCTTCAGAAATCAAAGAATTATAACCTTCGCCTTGGTCTTTAGTTGTCCGAAGGAGCCCCTCGCACTTCCTCGTGCGAAGCTGCACATGCTCCCCATGAATTCCAATAAGCGTCCAGCCAATTGAGGGGGCGCTCATGCTGCTGGACAGCATAGGGATCCCAGACAGGTCTTGGAGACCAGTGCACCCGAGACATGGCGGAGATGAGGCAATTTCTTCCTCGGTAAGCGCGTTCTCTAATGGGATAGGTTGACCTTCTGACTCTTCAATTTCGGGATCTTCCTCGATGCGAGACAGTGTTGAAATTTGCAACCTGGCATAATGAATCGGCGAGTGAAACCACCGGGACTGGGGGAGGAGCGGCTGCAGTTGAACGTTGAACTTGGACTAGTGCCTGGTGTCCGAGTCGAGTAGTCGTTAATCGAAATAAATGGTGTACAGGGTCGTGAAAATGACTATCTACATGCATCTCTGGGATATATGGGGCTTGTTGCTCGAGGATGGCATCTGCACTGCCCGGAAAGTACTTACTTTAGTCGTCAAATAAATTAAATATTGCCCCAGCGCACCTGATCCCTGTAAAAATAGTTGCTCGCGTGCCTTTTCTTCTTTGCGCCTCTCGTTTCATACCTCTAAATCACGCTGCAACTTTATTTTATACTTCTGGCAATCCTTCTTGCCTCAATGCTTGATCATCTTCAGCGCAGATTGTTCCTTGCCAATAAGAATATGCTTTTGGCACAGATCACATTAAATATAGTCGAGGATCGCTCTCTGGTCATGTTTAACAGGAACTCGAACGGATTTTCCGCCTTTGGGATCTTGTACAGTGACTTCGTCGCCTGCATCACGAAGACTCGGAGGGACAAAGTGGAGGGCCAATAGAGTCATAATGTTCAAGTTGAGATAAATTTGCTGGAGAAAAGAAATGGAACTCGAACAAAAACTTGACGCTTCGACTATCCTACCCTGCGGCAGATGGACAGAGAAATACCTACATGGAAAGAGAACCTTGCCCGACGTTACGAAGAGCCGCCTCCTGATCTAAGCGGCATGTGGGACACCTGGCACTAGCCCGGCTAAGGCAAGGACACCGGACACTAGTTTTCGTCGTTTTCAGGGGAGTGGGATCTTCGGCCTTTTCGGCTTACACCCCCCTGGTAAGAACTTGCCTTCATTCACGCAAACTAGTACTTGGGAGAGGTTCGCCCACATTGATAGTACATGGTATAGATACATATGGGAGTCGTAAGATCTGGACGTAGTGCAAATAGATTAAATATTGCAAATATTCGAAAGCGGAGTGGTGGATATGGTTCGCGGTTGAGCTCTTGTTGTGTTTTACGACCGGAAGACCTTGGCGTAGACAGCACCGAGAACTAGGAAGGCCAGGGCTGTGGCAGCCGCGGTCGACTTCTTCACGGTGATGGTGTCGTCGGACTGAGTGAGGACTTCGGTCTCGTTCTTGATGTAGTGGCGGGCGAAGAGGTCGTTTTGTATCCAGAGAAGCTAAGAACAGGTAAGATAATAGTCGTACAGAAAAAAAGAGACAAACCTTGTTCGCTGCGCGAGCGACAGCATTTTTGGTGGGGATATCGAGTGTGGGGTGGGTAATCACGGTGTTGACGAGGATATCCTCGACATATCCCAGCAGGATAGCGCAATGGATGTATTCCACCCTCAGCGCGGGCTTGCTAATGCTGAAAGGGTGTAAGCCAGTCACCGACACTGTTCGAGGTAACAACTCACCAGTGCTTGAACCCAGCAGCGCCAGTGTGCATCAGACCGACCTTGTCGAGGTACTCCCAGCTCTCCGCCTTCGAATAGTCCATCGTGACGAGCTTGACGAGGTACCGGCCCAAGAAATCCTTCCTAAACTTGATCTGGGGGTGCTCAGCGTTCAGGTCTTCGAGCTTCGTCGGGGCCTCGCCGGTATAGCCCGTCTGGCGTGGCACAAACGACTTGGCGGTGATGTCGAACGACAAAAGCTTGACATAGACGGCGTCGACGATAGCCGGCACCAACGGTGCGACGACGTCCTTAGCGGCATGCAGAGCGGCAGCGTCGTCCGCTGTAAAGTCGATGAAATTCCGCAGATATTCTACACGGGTCTGGAGGTCGTCAAGTGAGGCGGGGTCGACGTAGTACATGTTTGGCGGTTATAAGTCGGGTATGGGAAGTGTGGGGATTGTCAGGTGGTTCTTCCGTACAACAGTGAAGAAGAGAAGCAGCCATGGGAGGTACTTATACGAATAGGACGGAAGGAAGGCAAACGTGTTGGAAAACAACTTACGCTGCCTTCTGACATTCTCCACGTCTCCGATTCGCTTGTGCTCATCAGCCGTCCAGGCTGGCCAATTTGATCTAATCTAATCGAAACATAGCCAGACCAGGTCCAGACCCCCTTAGTCATGGCACCAGGATTGCAACACCGCGCGATGCGCCACAATGGAGAAAGTAGGAACATGGGCGGTGGTAGCCGTCTCCGAGGTCGCGCAAAACCGGGTCGAGATGAGGTGACCGGTGATGGGTTGGGTCTGGATTCTTATACTTATACTATTCTAACTTTACAATTTCAAAGGTGCCCACTGGTGCCCTGACGATCCAAAAGGTCTCGCCTAACCCCCGGAACCTCGACAGTTAAGGCCAGACGCCTTTTGTGGAGTGCAGGAAAACTACTGGCGGCGTTGATCTACATACTATCTGAGCGATCGGCGCGGGGGACAATTCGATTAAATGATTTACGGACGTGGACGTGGCTTGGGGTTCATCGGAAGCGCCCAAGGCGGCTCCTTCCGGCGCCTCAACGGTTTTTCCTTTCTCGTTGTGACTGGCCTGCAAGCATCGTAGCCGCTGTTCGATGACACCTTCACCTTACTCTTCGTCGGCAAAATATTTCTTCGATCGAGACTTGCTCTTCGGCGTACCGGAATAGATGATCGTCGCAGGTACCTTGATCCGTGCTGTTTCCGCAATACAATACCGTTGCGCACGCGTGCCACTTGTGCTAACGGGAGCTCTGGCTGGACCACCCGAGACTCACAGCATCTGCACCCGCACCTTTACGTCCGTCATCCGCGACAGAACTGAGTTCCGATGTGCGAGCAGGTTAATATTAGTGTGCCCAGTCCCTGTCAATCAAAACATGGACAGGTTAGTAAGGCTGTCGTCCACGAATTTTCCCGATGTTGGGAATTATTTGATAGCAGGTGGGCTTCGTACATAGTTGAGACGAGCTGAGATTTTGTCAGACAAAGGGGATTAGAGGTGAATTTCAGACTGCCTCAGGAAGGCAGCCGTAATGTCAAGGTGTTAGAATTGGACTTAGTGCGTCATTGGATAATCTGGTCGACGGTCCCGAGTGACGTTTAAGTCGTTTTCGGACGGGCTTGCAGGCAGGTAAGTCCTAACTCCGATACTATGTCCATGGATCTGTAAAAAGGCGTTACAGAAGCTTCTCTTCGTCGAATTTACGGCCGATTTATGCTTTTAGCTCTCGGAGAGCTTCTCCCTCTCGGATGAAGAGCATCGCAAGTCGTCTAGAAGAACGGGGAGAGGGACGGCCAAAGATACTTAGTGTTCTGACGAATCGTTACAACTACTACACGAGAGCTGTTACTTAGCTGAAGATTTCCCCAAGAATCACGTCTCTATTTCCAGGCTTGCTAGGTTAGTCAGAAATCACAATACTACTGAACTTCGGAGCGTTCCTAGACCTCTCGTCTAGCTGTTGTTGCCACTCTTCCCGCCTGCGGCACCCGCAATGGGCTTGGCCGTACGCATAAGGACAATTCGCCCTATCTGTCGCTGGGCTCAAGATGAACGCCAAAGAGGGGCTCTCGAGGGCCCGATTGTAGTAATTCACCGCCACCCCTCGCAGGAGGGGACACTCATAGCCCGCATGCGCCTCGAAGTAACTACGCATCAGTGAGATAGCATCTGTCCAGTGGCTGCGATACATAAGCTAGAGAAGGGAATGCTCTCCATGAATATTGAAGCGAGAAAGATAAAAATTTACTCGCCCATTTGCTAAGCAAGCCAGGAGCAGACAACTTTCGCGCCGCTTCACCGTCAGGGAAGCCCAACGTATGTATGGCGACTTTATCTGCAAGATCGGGGTATCCGTGCTTATGAGCGTGGCAGAGGATCTCCAGGGGGTGATCCATGACAAGTTGACTTGGATCCCTCTCGTCAGTTCTGAATCCCAACTAGACCACAACGAATTCACTGACTGCATATGTAGTACGCAACTCGTCGTCGCCCCAAACACGATATACTTCTCTGCCGCCTCCGCGAACCTAAAGAACAAGCCAGGCTCCATCGCTCTCAAGTCGGGCTGGCGGAAGTTCTGCGACTCTTCGCGGGGGTGAATGAACTGAAAGAGAATTTCGAGCGTCTCCGCGCTCTCCTGGAGTGGGATCGGCATATGATCGAGCGTCGGGTCTTCTGGGACTTCGAAGCCTCTGGATGTCCACTTAAGCGCGGCAGAGTGGATCTGGAAGAGAGTGCCATCGGAGGATTGGAAGGTTATGTCGGCAGAAGGGTCGTTAACTGTGTGTGTGACGTGAATATACCACCAGAGACAGCCCCCTTTATTAACAAAACCCCAGTACTGTAAGGAATTAGTTTATAAACAAACCCCAGGTGTTGCTGGGGAGGTTTTATTGATAAATCCCTAGTGTATATGGGTACTGTCCCCAACACTTTATCCATTGTCCCTTCCATTTTATCCGTTGTGCACCCTCCCAATTTTATTCATCAACTGTGCTCTTTATTCATCGACCGTACCCTCTTTGTCGATTGCATCCCTTTTATCCATTCTCCTCGTTTTATTCGTCAACCATCTTTATCCATTCCCCCTATTTTATTCATCAACCACACACTCTTTGTCCATTGCGCCTCCTTGTCCATCGCGCGTCTTTGTCCATCCGCCAGCCATTTTATTCGTCCCGCCATCTTTATTCATCGATCATCCTCTTTATTCATCCTCCCCTTATGTAATCATCAACCATGCCTGCTTTATCCACCGCAGCCTCTTTATCCATCCCGCCGTTTTATCCATCCCGCCGCCTTTGTCCATCCCGCCGTCGTTATCCAAATCCCCTTATTTTATTCATCGACCACACCCTCTTTGTCCATCGCGCCTCTTTGTCCATCCGACCCCCATTTTATTCGTCCGCCCTCTTTATTCATCAATTACCCTCTTTATTCATCCTCCCCTTATATAATCATCAACCATGCCCGCTTTATCCGCCGCACCATCTTTATCCATCGTGCCATCTCTATCCATCGCGCCATTTCTATCCATCGCGCCCTCTTTATCCAAATCCCCTTGTTTTATTCATTGACAACACCCTCTTTGTCCATCGCGCCTTTTTGTCTATCCACCCATTTTATTCGTCATTCCCTCTTTATTCATCGCTAGCCCTCTTTATTCATCGCTCGCCCTCTTTATTGATCCTCCCATTACATAACCATCAACATGCCTGCGTTATCCGTCGCACCCTTATTATTCGTCAACCCCTTTATCCGTCGCACCCTCTTTATCCATTGCGTCCTCCTTATCCATTGTACCCAGTTTTATCCATCGATAGCGGAATTTTCGTTCATTACACCCTCGTTATTCATCAACCCTACCTTCTTTATCCATCACACCATTTTATCCCTCAGTCCACCTTCATCCGTCGACTACAGCTCCTTTATCCATCACACCTTCTTTATCCATTGCTCCCTCTTCATCCCCTGCCTTTTCAATCCCATTTATTGATACCTCCCACTTTATCCATCATGCCCGTTGTTCATGTACTCCCTTTGTCCACCACTGACTTTATACATCAACTGCGTTTTCATGCTCCGGGCCGTGGATCTGTGATTTTGAACATGACGTTGGGCTGTATCGCATAATCACGCTATGTTCAAGAAATCAAGTCATATATTTTCAATCGCAGATAGCGGGACAAGAATGTAAGATACCAAAATATTATCGCGGAGTTGATGACGAGGACGTGGGAATCAAACCAACTTAACTGGTTTTCCTTTTCTTGCCTCGTCGGCTTCCCTCCTCCAGCGGTCCTGCTGGCTCCTTCCTTTTGTTCTGGCCTAACAAGAACGACTCAATACACTTCGACACGTCAGCAACCACCATCGACCAGCGCGCATCCATTTTCCGACTCTCCGCCCACCACTTCAGGCCGATGAGGACTGTGACCAAACCCGACGCACCTCCCTTCCTCAAATGCGTCATATCCTTCAGATCGCCGTCGGTAAGCTCCAATGGGACACCGTTATCCGGGTTCTGACGCCGCTTTGGCTGTAGCTCATTCCACCAACGCAGCCACTCCTCCGCGAACGTCTTAACGTCAATCGTCGGGATCACGGCATACTTTCGGTTGGCTAGCCACTTCTTCATTGAAGGAGGGCGATGTTTGGCTGAAAGACGAAACTAGTATGAATCGTGAGCGTCCCATGTTTCTGTCGTCCAACGAGATGACTCACAGACGTTGTCTCCAGAGCTCTTGCTTCGCCGTGCTCGAAGTTCACCCAATGCCCAAGGCAGACACACCAGTCCTCATCATCAATGTCCTGAAGAAGGTACGCATGCGCTTCATCCAACCACTGCATGGACACTTGCTTGGCCATCGGTGGTCTTCGGGTACGGTGAGTTCGCTCCAGCTCGTCTTTGACGTTTTCTTCTTCTTTTTCTGTTTGCTCGTTCTCTGCAAACGACCCTTCTCCGAGAGCTACGGCCATGGCTTGAGGGGCGGCAGCGGTCGGAGGGAGCATCTGCAACACGATGGGGGTGGGAGCAGGGTTGACAACAGCGTTCAGAGCTGCAGCCTTGGTTTGAGGGACGGCAGCAGTCGGAGGCAGCACATACGGCGGGGTGGAGCTGGGAGCTGGGACGATGCTGCCGTTCGGAGCTATTACCTGGGTCCGAGGAGCGGCGGCAATGGGGGGTTCCACTGGCGATGCAATGGGGCTGGGAGTAGGGATGACAATGCCATTCGGAGCTACGGCCTGGGCTTGAGGGATGGCAGTAGTCTGAGGTGCTGGAGAAGCGACCACGGTCGGAAGCGGCACCTGCGGCGCGGCGAGGGTGCGTCCGGGGGTGACAACGGTGTTCAGGGCTACGGCCTGGCCTTGAGGAGCGATACCAGTTGGAGACGGCGCCTGCGGTGAAATGGGGCTGGAAGTAGGGGTGACAACACCGTTCGGAGCTACAGCTTGGCCTTGAGAGGCGACAAGAGTTGGACACGGCACTGAAGGCGCAACCACGGTCGGAGGTGGTGCCTGTGGCACGATAGGGTTTGGAGATGTGTTGACAACGCCGTTCAGAACCATGGGCTGGGCTTGAGGGGCAACGGCAGCAGGAGGCGGCATCCGAGGAGTACCGTTTAGAGGCAGGGTCCTCTCCGCAGAAGACGTGGGTGTATTGAGATCGGAGGTCGCCTGCATAAAAGACTGTGTATCGAAAGCATCTATCGATCTCATCAGGTCATCGACTTTGGCATCGTTAAGCAGGTTCAAAACACGTCGCAAAAACTAGTAGGTTTTGCCTAAAAGTTCTGTTCTGAATCCTCAGTCCTTCTACAGCGGTCACAGATTCTGAGGTTCGAATTCGCCTTGCAAACGAGGATAGGGAGGCAATTGCGCAAGGAACCGCTCTTGCGATCCACGATGATGTGACGCCGAGCCAGCTAGTTTACCAAGGTTTACAGATCGAAGATTTACAGTAGGACATTTTTGTACTCGCTGGGCCAAATTCTAATACTGTTCGCTTCTCAGACGTCATCACACGCGAGACGTTCTAGACCTCGGACCCCATGCAACTGATCTCCAGAAGGCCAAAGTCATGGAGCGCGCAAATTCATTGACTCGGAAACTCGAAGCTTGGATCAGCATTCAGCACCTTTACATGCCTACAGTAGCCCCGCTGCGTGCACGTCAGGATAGCACGAACACATCCCCGGTTGCTGTTCAGGATGTCAAGCTCTTTCTGCCGTCATCACTGCCACGAGGAATATTATCGGGGATCAACTTCTTCCGCTATGAGTGGGACTTTCGGTATGCTCAGGCCGAGGAAGAGTTAAACTCCCTGCGCGGTTTTCTCCTGCTCCGTTCGCACATGTTGAACTCAAAGCAACGGTTTTCACGAGGACAACGACAGAACACAAGAAGCCAAAAGCTTCTCTCCAATGTAGATGAGAAGATTCGCGCAAGCGTTGCGAAGTACCGACATATCCGCCTCGCGCTTGATTCACTCTCTGGCCCTTTGTTAGAAACCCGATGGCGAGAAACCCTCCGACCGTTAGAAGAGGCTGACGTTTCTGGGCTCAGCTCTATGGATAATTCTGGAAGTGAAGGCCGGAAGAGGCTCTCCTGGATCTGGAAGGTTCACGGCACGGGTGCAAATGCCGACGAATGCACACAATTAGGTTCTTCAATTTTGCCTTTTCGAGAAATTGTGCTGACAGATATATTTTTAGCGCTTCGAATCGAATGGTGTAAAGCTCGCGCACGCGCCCATAGATGGCAAGAAGAGTGTGTACTTCTTGCAGAAGAGATGCGTCGCGTCATCGCATTCTTCCAATGGCAATGTCGATGGTGGAAGGCACATATGTCAAATCTTTCCTCAACAGACGATACGCTCACTGAGGGTCGGTATGCGTATGCAATGCGGCAGGCCAACATGAGGGATGAAATTGGAGCCCACTGTGAGCGTGAATGGGAAGACTACCGGGTAAAGCTCGTTACTATGGAGGGCCGCGATGCATACGCGATGGTAGAATGTCATTGACCGGGATAGGAGACGTGCCATATGAGGTCATTTGCATGAAGTCATTTGCACTATTCTTAGATTGTAGCACGTTTGAACACGAGATAAAAATAGCCTTGCGGGGATTATCGACAGAGGGGATGGCACTGATGAAAAAACATAGAGGCGCAATGGACAATTATTGAAGGCGCTATTGATTAACAAGACGTAGCGGCGGAATGGACAATTATCGAAGGTAAGGCGCAATAATTCGTGCGCTTTGAGCGATGAATAATATGATGTAATGGACAATTGTCGAAGGGATTATTGATTAACAAGTGTAGTGGAGGAATGGACAATTATCGAAGGCATTATTGATGAACAAAATTTAGATGCGCAATGGACAATTATCCGAGGTAGGGTGCAATAATTGGTGCGCTTTGAGTGATGAATAATAGGATGTAATGGACAATTATCGAAGGAATCATTGATGAACAAAACGTAGCGGAGGAATGGAAAATTATCGAAGGCATTATTGATGAACAAACATAGCAGCAGAATGAACAATTATCGGAGGTAGGGTGCAATAATTCGTATGCATCGAGCTATGAATAATAGGATATAATGGACAATTATCGAAGGGAGTATTGATCAATAAAATGTAGCGGAGGAATGGACAACTATCGAAGGCATTATTGATGAACAAAACGTAGCAGCGGAATGGACAATTATTGGAGGTAGGGTGCAATAATCCGTACGCTTTGATCAATGAATAATAGGATGTAATGGACAATTCTCATTGATTAACAAATGTAGCGGCGGAATAGACAATTCATCGAAGGCATGGACAATTATTCTAACGCAGGTGCAGGTATATCAACCAGGAGTATCGACAATTGTACTCCACGAGTTGCTGGGCATTGTTAATAGTCGTTCACCCAGGAATACTGGGGTTTTATAGACAAAGACGGCGTATACGCCTCAATATACGCTAGGCGAAGCGGATGGAAACAGAGAAAGAGCGCACAGAGATTGGAGTGGTTCGTTTGCGAAGTGTCGTCGGACATAATAGTTAACAAGTTTGCGGCTAAGGTGCCAGAAAGACGTGAAGACCAGGACGAGGGCACTATTGCATCTTTGGGACGTTGTTGAAGGGATAATAATAACTTATACGTTATGTGAAAGATGTCATTCACGTGGCCAGACGGGCGCCTAGACTGCCATCGCCTTGAATCAAGTATGAATTCATTCAATTATGCATTCATTCGCTCCCTATCCAAAAATTCTCTGCGACTACATGATATGCCACTCTTTTTTCATAGGGATATGCTACTGAATTTAGGGATCGCTTGACGCTTCTTCTCCAACAGAGTCCGCCATTCTTGAACACAGGGACAAAAACAATTGCCTGCCACGTCACATTTTATGCCGAATTTATAGACTTGCAGGAGAACCGATGCCATTGACATATTGCCCCACGCAGTCGAGAAATAGACGGAGCTGATTCCCAGGCAATTTGTGCAGGTCGACTTTCCGACGACATAAGAGTCCATTTTTTCTTTCATGAATTTCGTTAAATCTTGCCAAGCCTTGAAATAGAGAACCTAAGGAGGATATATACTGAGCAGGGACAAGTGCTGATGAATCAGGGCTTACCCATTTCTGAAGAGCGGATGGGTGAGTCAATTCAGCGACAACCCGATCCAGTAGACTAATATCCTCCCAGAAACCATGCGTCTTCCAGTGGATATCTTCACACATATCGCCGCCGAACTCTCAGGACTCAGCTCTGGTTGCGCAGTCTTTCCCTTACATGCCGGGCACTGGTACCTGTACTTTGCCAAGCACACATCTTTCGTGCTATCGAATTCTGGGAAGGTATATCTGGCACACGCAAAATGCGCCGCTTGTTCATCCTCCTCGAGGGATCAACTCATCTTGCGGATTACATTTGCCGTTTCGTTCACATCAAATTCCACGTCGATTCATTCTCCTTGCGAGAGACGGCATACTCTGCCAGTGGGGTGCAAGAGCGGAGCGAGGACATGGAATTCGAGGACATTTTCGCAGGCGTTCTCTTTAGGTTGAACAACCTAGAGGACCTCCGCCTCTCCCATCTCTGTGACGAGAAACCAACCAGGTGTCCGAACTATGCGCCGTGCTGCAGGAACTCGCACAGGATAATGTCATTCAGCGGCTCTCATTCACCATCAGCCAGCCCACGCCAGACACTGCTCTTGAGGATTTAAGAGAGACATTCGATTGTCGCGCGCGGGCCAAGATGGTCTTCTACGGAATGGACGAGCAAGCTCAATGCATGAGCACGGTTGTGACTCGGGAATCGTACCCTCATCTAAGGAACTTTACCATAGATTTCTACAGCCAGTTACCGGACATGGAGATACAGACCAGCGTGCTGGACGATGCAGAAGCCGTCTTCGGGGGGATGATGAAAGAGCATTTCACGCATCTTCTCGGATACCCGAGTATAGATGTTCAGATAACTGGAGAGGTTGAATTCCAGGTGGGTTTGTCAATTATGACACTATCTTTGCCCTTTACGCAGCTGAATCCCCTGGACAGGAATAGTGATTGCCACGCTCTACGGAAGGTCTCAGTCTCATAAGTACTTGTGGATAATTTGTGTGGGGATAGTATTCCGAAATTTGACTGCACGTTGGATATAGGCTACTAAACCTTCTGAGGAGTAACAGTACATTGAAGAATGCCCATTGCAGTCCAGGTCCTGTCAAGTAGATATTCTGCCGCTTTCTGGGAGATTATCCACAAGATACCGAACATTTGTTCTTGACCGGGCAAGCTCACGTCGCTCAAAACGATGACAACGCCACTAGCCGTCTGCGTCATCTCGACTACCAAGCCTACTCACGCAGTTACATAACTTACTAATCTCGTGGCTTAACACACTTTTCTCCTCAACGTTGACCATGGTCGAACAACCTTCCCCCGTTTTCCCGTTCGACATCTGGGTAACTATTATCGAGGCTGCCATAGCAAACGGAGATATGGCCACACTTTCTTCCCTTTCCCTCTGTTGCTACGCCTTCGTGCCCTCCTGCCAGCGGCACTTCTTTCATTCCATCCACATCAGCGAAAAGCACTCGGGATACATCGACGGCCGGAATGAGAAGATTCTTGAACTCGATACCTTACTCACCCAATCTCCACATCTTGCCACCTACGCCCGCAAATTGGCCTACTTCATCCATCCTATGAACGACAAGGATATTCAAGTTCCCATCAACCGACTCTTCATGAAGTTGACGAAGCTGGAAGCCGTCGAATCATACCACGAAGATGATCTCACCGAAGACGAAGACTTCGTGAATTGGGCGACGCTCGACGAGCCACTTGCCAATGCGGTCGCTTGCGTCATAACATGCCCCTCTCTTCGGGAGCTCGTCATCAACGGCTTCACGGGATTTTCGCTGCCCCTCTTGAGGTCCCTCTCGAGCCGGCTTGAGAGCCCTCACCTCTACTCGCTTGAAATCGTCGACCCCGTTCCCACTAGAATCACGTCCGAAACCCATGTTGGGCCCGCTGTGCGGCACCTATGCTTCGATCAAAGCTCTGCGCTGGCGCTGTCCGCAATGATCAACGATCCGTACAAGACATGTACCTTCTCAAAGCTATCGTCGATGAATCTGACATGGGATAGCATTGACGTTTTGCTCGTGACCTCGAAGCTCGTAGCGCTGCATCCTCCCCTAACCAATCTCCATACGAGAGGCGAGTGTCATGCAATACTACAGCCGGGCTATAGCTAATAAATTACAAAGTTGGGGAGTCGGGTGGAACGTGCTCTGAGCTTGCAGACCGTCTTCTTCGGCACTGCGCTCTCTCACTGACGACTCTTTCTTTCTACTTGAAGATGAGCTTCAGGGAAGGTACAGACCATTGCTCGGAGTTGTCTGAGGAGCTCGAACACATCTCCACCTTTGACACGCTAAGCACCCTTCACGTTCAATGGCAAGTATATATGTCCAGGGGACGATTGCTCGAATACCTGCCTCATTTTGATGCTCTCTTTACTCGCGAACGATTTCCTACCCTCAACTCGATGAAGATTGAAGTAACTGCTCTAACCCGACGAAGCTTTTCAAGCGAGAATCTCCTCCTTAAAGAGGTTGCGCTCGCCAGGAGGTGCTCTCAGAAATGCCCCAAGATAGAAGAAATGGCTGGCTTGGACTCTCCATTTAGCGTTACCCTCCAGACGTGTTGGACGTAGTTGAACTTCCCTATACTTTTCTTTGTGGTAAACAGACGAAAAAGCAAGAGCGTAGATACCCTCCAAAGTACTTCAGCATCCACAGTTTCTGTGAGAGTGAACACATTCCAATTTGATCTGGATAATATATCGGAAAGCGACAGCCCTGCGGCAGGGGCGATGTAGAGAAGTATTATTGTTATCGGGGCGCACTGAAATCGCCCGTTATCTAATATAATCACACGTCTCCAACGCGATAGACGCCCGTCACCGGAAAGCGTGGCCACCACACGACGATTATCGATCTCACTATGCCTTGGCTCTTACAACCATCTCGTTTCATTTCCAATGGACGACTCACAGCCTGCAAACCCCGATACTAAGGTTTCCCCGCTCTGTGAGTCAATCGGTCCAGCCGTCGCGAACCGAGACTGAAGGTTAGCCTAGTTTGCGATCCGACAGCGGACCTGACGTTCAAATCAGTGGATGGTGTACTGTTCAAGGTTCATAAAAAGCACCTGGAGTTCGCTTGTAGTGGATTTCTAACAACTGACGCTCTGATCGTCGATGCAGAGCCAGTACCAATGCCGGAGTCAGCGGAGGTTCTGGAGACCCTCTTCCAATTTATCTGTTCACCCGGAGAGGCGACGAATTATAGACAACCATCAGTCAGCAAAATGAGTGATGCATTACTGTTCCCTCTTGCAGAAGCTGCTAAGAAGTATAGAGTCTACGCAGCAATGAACGTGTGCCAGCTGAAAATGGAGTAACAGCCTTTCCTTTATTATATAGGGAGTCCTAAACCGGATGCTAACGAGTCATTTTTGTGCGATAAATCAGGTACATAAGCATGTATAACTCTCTCAAAGTCTTGAACCACTGTGTACGCCATGGGTATCTAGAACTTGCTTGTTTGAGAATGTCGTGGTGAGACTCTGAGAGTACTAGTTGGCCATGGCTAATAAGTCAAATCCTATCTAATCTAATCGCGCACCAAGACCGTTCTCACGCTCGGGATATCTGTTTCTAATTATTCGATCTATCGTTTCCCGTCTCTCTCAGGACTTATGCCACTCTCGAGGTGCCGATGATGTGGGTATGACTTTGCAGGTCTGCAATGGAGCGTCTGTTGCAATGAGTAGGAGTGCGCCACTAGCAGGTTCCCCGCTGAAGATCGGGCACTCGTTGAGTGTTGACGCGGACGTGCGACGGCGCTCCGAAGGAGCCTGCGGCCTTCTCGGGAGGACCCTCGTCTGGTGGGGCTATTCATCTGAAGGCACCTCGTTTCTGACTCGCTTTATAACAGCTCTATACACCCGGCATCCTGTGACATTGATGGAATATGTACAACCTATGGCTGCGTTCAAATGAGAATGTTCGACTTTACGACTATTATACATGACCATCTGCAACGAAGACTCTCGCCGACAATGATCAATAGGAAGCCCATCGTCCAATCTGGCCCATCATAGAGACTCAACAGTAAGCTCTGTTGCAGAACTATCTCTGTTCATTTAAAGATTGGGGGTCGTCCTGTCAATCGCGGGAGGCTCGAGGACGTTGTCCATCAGAAGGGGCTTTCATATATCTTACTGCCAGACTAGAAGGTGCTCTTGGTGTTCCTTGCCCCTTCCCCCATCTCACCCTTCATATTAACGCTCAGAGCGCAGAAGATCCACGCCATGGCTGCAGCGTCCATCGATTTCGACAATTTCCCTCTTCAGGCAGATCAAAACCTTGGAGCAATTGAGATTGGGGCCTTCATCGGTCTCACACTGTTTGGGGTCTTGCTGGCACAGATCCACACATATTTCAGACGAAATAAAACTGATAAGAAGGTCTGGAAGATGCTGGTAGGTCGCTTGTGTTTGTCATATCGGCCACTATTCACCCATTCATACCTTGTAACCAGGTTATCTTTGTCTTGTACGGCGATTGGACACCGTAATACCGTAAGGAAGCGTTACTGACCTCCCACTACCTCGCTTAGATTTCTGGAATCCGTCCACACTTTCACGATGGCATATTCGATCTATTATGACACTGTAACAACGTACAAATTTCCCAAGGCTAATTCGTATCCATTGTCGATAACAGGCTTCATTGAGAACTTCATTTCGGGCACCGTCCAGGTACTTCAACTTCACTGTTCGCGGGGGTGCCAGAAGTTGACAAAGGGGCCTTTCTCCAGCTCTTCTTCTCATGGCGCATCTACGTCTTCTCCCGACATAGCCTGGTTATCACGCTCCCATCGATCGCCCTCGCAGTCTCTAGATTTATCATGGGATTTGCCATGTCTGTCTTCGCGATACTCGACGTCCGCGATGGCGAAGCGAAAGGTCGGTTCGTCGTGCCGTATGGCTGGCTCGTCGCCACCGGCTTCACGTTGGGGGCTGCGGCAGACGTCACAATCGCAGCATTGATGATTTACTACCTCCGCCAACTCGCGTCATCCAACAACTCGAAGTCAGCAACAAAGGTTATTAATAGACTTGTTCGATGGTGTTTTCGTAGGTCTTTCCATCTTGGAAATCCGATGACCAGTATTCAGATTTGGCGTCTTATTTTAATCAATAGAAACTGGGCTATTGACAAGGTCGGTCACGACCTTTCCCGTGAAGCCGAGAGCTTATTGTGTAGTGTGGCGGCAGTGGCGACGATCATTAGCGTGAGCGCCTATTTTGATCGCCCTCCCAGCCTTCAAAGTTGACAAATTCTGTCAGTTCCAGTCCATAGGAAACCGTATGCCAAGTTCACGCTCAACTGATTCCTGTTTCTAAGCAGTTTCCTGTAGTTGTCTGGCTTTCTCTTTACGTGGTGCTGGCCAAATGTGAGACCCCTTTTATGGCAATCTGATGCTGGGTCTAACCACGCTACACAGTATACTCAAATTCGTTCCTCGCATCGTACGCACTTCTTTTTTCACGTGTCTCATCGACTTTGCGTTCCTGACTCCACTGTCTAGATTAAATTCAAGAAGAGATCATCGGGAAACCCTCAATAAGACCCATTCGCCACGCGAGGATGTCGAGTTCGCCGCCGGTCCAGATACAGCGGCTTCGGTAACTGCGGCTGCACCAGTGAGTCAACCGAGTTCACGTCCGCCAGTGGCTTACGCTGGTGTAGGAGACTTCACAGTCGCAGGTGACATGCTCCGCCATTATTTCCACTGTATCGTCGTTCCCTTCGCAGCAAACGACGAAGCTCGTGATTAATAGGCTGACTGACCATTAGAAGGAGAAATTTTCTACGACGTTATAAAGGATTCGAACGCAAATCTCTTAAGCATCTAAAATATGTACTCTGCAATCAAATCTCAGGCCAGGGATTCGACAGCTTTTTTGGAACTGGAGACGATTCCGGTCCGTCCACTCGTCCGCCAAGGCCTCCAAATCAAACGCCAATTTTCTTCCGCGCATTCGCAGAAAGTAGACCCAAATCTGAAGGTCGAAATGCTCCAAGTGCGGGAAGGCATCAGCTATGGCGTCGTCCAATCGGGATAGACAGAAAGTGAGCCCATTGAGGTGTCCTGACGGGATGTGGAAGTGAATGGAGAGAAATTTCACTTTGTTCCTCCCAGAGAGAAGCTGGAATTCTTCTGCGAGCCCTAAGAATGGATCGTTGTCGACGGGACGCTGGCTAGTTGGCATCCTATGCGAGAGTCCGAACGTCAGTACTGTAAGGTCGTCCAGACAGTAATCCAGAATAGCCTGCGCTACTCCCGCTGTCGTTTTTAAAGGGGAATCAACTGTAGAATATTTATAATGCTTCAGTGCCCAACCTCGACTTGCCGTAGAGGCATAATGTACGCGCACCTTGGAATGAAGCACCTTTGAGCTTACTGGCTGTCTTCATAAGCTCCTTCGCCAAAGCAGACTCACGCTCGTTTCCCCAAGATATATGGAGGAACCCAAGCTCCTTGAAGTCGAAAATGAAGGGGCGGGAACACAACACTCCTCTCGATCCACGTTCAGCTGTGTCGCGGTCGTAGAAATATAAGTGCTTGATTTGTGGAATTCGGCTTTGCACCGGCCCAGACGCAACTTCGGAATCAGGAAGACAAGATGAAGAGCTCTCTTCTTCTACCTCCACGTCGTCAAGAGTCAATATTGCGAGGCTCGATGCCAGGATTCTGAAAAGTGACGAAGGCATATTCTTGATCCGCGTGAGCGTCAGGCATCTTAGATTCGGAGACTGGATAACGTGCATGATGGAAGAGCACAATCGCATGTCGAGTGCACCCCAGTCCAAGCGTGTGTTCAATTCCTTCGGCACGTAGTGGACTTCGGCGTCTGTCAGGTGCTTGAGTTGGCCCAGGATCCAGTGAACACTTGTATTTTCTCCGTCTTCATCCTCGATCACGTAGAAAACGCTACGCACAAATGCGGCAAGATGAGGGGATTGAGTAAAGGCGTCTTCTAGTCTGGCAAGCGCGTAAGCTCTGTCGGATGGCCAACTAGGATATAGCCGGGGAATACGGAGGTCATTGAAGAGGATCCGTTGACATAACGGGGCAAGAGAGCGGCAACAACGAGAAAGGGCGCGCAAGGTGTGCTTGTCAGATTTGTGCAATTCGACGATCTTCATCCAAATTTCCAGAGGCAGCGGCCTGCTCAATACGGCCATTCTAGTCGTCGATGTGGTTGGTCGTGAGGTGGGGTGTGGTAGATTTTCATAGGAGGCACTGGTTTTATTCGCCAACCAAAGCCACCAGGCCCACCCCAAGATGGCCCCATCTCATTCATCAGCTGGTCCACCATTGTGGTCCCTGTATAGAAGGCAAAGAGGTCAGATTCATGTGGCACTCGCTTGCTTCGGCTTGAACACCATGTTCCTGCAAGTTTCGAATAATCAAAAAGTATATAAAGTTGGATAAGATCAAAATGTAAGTATAATAGTCCTGATAATCCAAACAAGCAACCGAGACTCAACCTTCGACGAGGAACTCCTCCCTATCCCACTCCATCTCCTGCTTCATAACGCCTGCAAGCACCAGCTCCTGGGTGTACACCTTGTACCCTGCCGATCTTATAGGACGCCAAATCGAAATATCCTCCTTGCACGAGATAACAATCCGATTATCAGGGCTGGGGGCGAGGACACGCGCCGTTGGTTGGTTCGTAGACACCTGGCCACCACAAGCGGTGACGACACTCTTGAGCAACTTCTTGTCGATCTGGACGCGTGGAGTGACATAGAACGTCTTTCCCTCAAGGAGCTTGCCGGCATTGGCTTTGGCCCGCTTCAGCGAAAGCGAGAGGTCGACGCCGTATTTGTTCTCGCCGGCTTTATCTTTGAGAAGGAAGTCTTTCTCCGCTAGGACACGAGAGTCAGAAAGAAGAGCTTGATACAAAGAGAAAGGGTACATACGTAGGAGTTGCCTCGCGGCTGCGCTTGCGATTGCCCATTGGCCGGTTAGGACATGTGGGGCAACCGCGAGTGCGCAGAGGAATTTCTCTGTGCGCACGAGATGAGGGGCGAGGAGATGCGTACATTCGCTTGGACGTGAGGTAATCTTCACCCCTAGTTTTCCTAGAGCTTTTGATACGTCCTCGCCGAGTGTCACTTGGGTTGTCAAGAGTACGACTCCACTTGACCTATACAACCGATTTTCATGAGTTTGATCAACGAAATAATCATGAAGAAAGACTTACGCATTCTCCTCAGGCTCCTCTTTCTTCTTGCCCTTCGCCGTCTTCGAAGGTCTCGCAGCATCTCCATTGACCATTTCCACATCGCCGTCCTTATCAACCCCCGCCTTCTGCTTTCCCTTCCCTTTCGTTTTCTCCTTATCCACTTCTTCATTCTCATCCGATACCCTCCTCTTCTTCCTGACTTTCTCTTCATCCTCTGCGTCCGCCACATCCGACTTCCTCCGCTTCCCACTGTCCTTCTCCTGCTTCACATCCCCATCGCCTTCGAATGCGAAGGACCCAAGCCCCGTGTCGCCGCCAGCACTCTTCCGACCACGGCTCTTCTTCATCTGGGCCTCGAAGTTGATAAGGTCCGGCATAAGCTTGTCGTGTAGCTTCTGAGTCGCCTTCGCGGCAGCACTGCGTTTAGGAGGGCCAGTTGAGACCACAGACTCCGTCTCGAAGGCAGAAGGCCCGGCAGTGCTGGCTCCTGCACCCGCAGAAGAAGTATCGGTTTCGATAGGAACGGCTTTCGACTTGGACTTGGGTTTGGAGGCGGCGGGTTTGCGAGAGACGGAGATGCTCGTCTCCTCCTTCTCCTTTGTAGCTCGGCCATTGGGTCTAGCTTTCTCCTTGTCCTTCGCCGCTGCCTTGGCCACTGAACTGGAAACGACGTGGCCAGCGACGGCATGTAGACTGTCTGTCTTCGCTAGATTCTTCGGGCGAATGTTCGGGCTGACGAGGATGCTGACCTCCGCTTCCTCATCTTCATCTTCTGACTCCGGCTCAGTAGGTGATTTTGTCTTGTTCTTCGCTTTCGCGGCCGAAGCCTTGCCTTTCGCTCCTGTCGCAGTAGCTTTGGGATCGGCACCCTTCGACTTCGGCTTCGACGCAACCTTCGTCTTCTTGCCAGCCCGCTCCTTCTCTTCCTGCTCCTGCTGGCCGGCGAGGAACGCCTCGGTATCCCGCTTCCTCTTCTCTCGTTCCTTGCCCGACATCGATAGAGTGGGCATGAGGACAGAGACAGTGCGTTTCGGAGTCGAGACTGTTGCAGGCGGTGCAGCAGCAACGGTCTCCTTCGTAGCCTTCTTCGACCTTGAGGTTGAAGTTTTCTTCGCAGGAGCAGGCTCTTGCTCTTCCTCTTCGTCGACAGCAGCCTTGCCCTTTCCCTTCGCCTTCTTGTCCTTTGACGATGAACCAACAGTCTCCTTCTCCTTAACACCTTTAGCGGTCTGCCAAGGTGCGTCAGGGAAAGAGATGTCGCTGTCTTCCTCATCCTCCGTCGGCGCAGCTTTCTTGCCCTTCTTCGTAGCGGGCCTCTCGTCTTCGTCATCAGAGCCCTCCTCGTCCGTCGAGTAGACCCGGAGCGGCTGTGAGCGGCTAAGTGTTGTGGGTCTAGCTTTGCTCTTGGGTTTCTCCGCGGTAGCCTTCGCCTTGCCCTTCACCTTCGCCTTCTCAGGCGCTGGCTCTTCCTCATCCTCGTCAGACGACACCGCGACAGATTTCTTCCCCTTCGCGTCCTTAGCTTTGCCCTTATTGGCAGCCCTGGCTCCAGCCTTGGCCTTCGTCTCCACGACCGGTTCCTCCTCCTCCTCCTCGCTCTCAACCTCCACAACGGGCTTCTTCTTCCTCACTCTCGTGCGTGCGTCTCCTCGTGTCGTCCTCAGGATTCCGCTACCACCCGCCTCTTTTGCCTTCGCCTTAGCATCCTCTGCCTCAGCTTCGTCATCACCACCCTTCATCTTTGCCCCTCCGAGCTCGCCCGTAAATCTCCGCACGAGCTTCTTCGTCTGCTTCGCGGGGATAATCACCGCTGACTCGGGCTCTGAACTAGACGACGGCAGCGTCTTCTTCCCTTTACCCTTCGCTGGAGCAGATTTGGATGCAGACGCCTTCGCAGCAGCTTTGGCAGGCTTGCGAGCAGGGGCCTCGTCCTCTGAGGTCTCTGAGGTGGAGGATGTCGGTGTTGGTGCTTTGGCTTTCGCCTTGGACTTGGACTTGGGTGTTGAGGTGGTTTTCGACTTCGAATTTGCTTTGGGTGCTGCCTCCTCGTCGTCTTCGCCATAGGCAGCGTCGTCGATGAACTTGTTGGACTTAGATTTGGGCGAGGGTTTCGGACGCGACTTGGACTGCGCTGGCACATCCTCCTCTTCATCAGAGTCCTCAGCTGCCTTCATTTTGCCCTTCGGCGTCACTTTCGACCGCGTCTTGGAGACGACAGGCTCTTCCTCCTCTGACTCTGACTCAGAAGCAGCCTTCGCCTTGGACTTGCCCTTCGGCGTGGGCTTCGGACGCGACTTGACTGCAGGCTCGTCCTCGCTCTCTGCGGCCTTCGCCTTGGACTTGGACTTGGGGGTTGGCTTGGAGCGAGACTTGACAGCGAGCTCTTCAACCTCGTCATCACTGTCGACGACTTTCGCCTTGCCCTTGCCCTTCGTCTTCTTCGGCGCCTCTTCCTCCTCCTCCTCCTCACTCTCGACAGTCTTAGTCTTAGTCTTAGTCTTAGGCTTGAACTTGGACTTCGGTGCATCATCGTCTTCCTCGTTGTCTGAGAGTTCGACGGCCTTGGACTTCGATTTTGACTTCGGCGAAGGTTTGGTACGTTTCGACTTCGGCTCCTCGTCTGCATCCTCTTCCTCGCTCTCGATAGCCTTGCCCTTCCCCTTAGCTTTCGACTTGGCCTTGGGCGGCTCCTCGTCGCTTTCCTCGTCCTCCGACACCTTCTTTCCCTTGCCCTTCGTTCTCTTCTTCGGCACCTCTTCGTCCTCAGATGAATCTTCCAGCTCGATAACATCGTCCTTCGGTTTCGGCTTCACTTTAGGCATGGTTTTCGGAGGTTGGTGCGTGGGCTTCCTCGGCGACTCCTTCGTCTTCGCGTTCGGGGTAGCCTTCGCTTTAGACTTTGGGGTCGCCTTGGACTTCGGACGTTCCTCTTCCTCGTCTCCGACCGGAAGAGACATCTGTCGGTTGTAGTCCTGGACCATGTCCTCCATATGTGATTGCTCCCAGTCCATCTCAGCAGCTGCTAGTGCGGTAGAGGGGGGGGCGAAGTCGATGTCCATGCCTGGGGGAGGCAGGATCGGAGTGCGGCCGTTCGATTTGGGTTTTGCCATGGCCGCATCGCCATCTCCATCTACGTCCACAAGACCCCTCGCAACTTCTTTGGCACTCCCCTCTGTCCCATTTGGCGCCTTCAACGCGCCTTCCTCCTCGTCGACGTCCTCTTCGTCCTCTTCCTCTATCAACTCCTCCAGAGCCTCGCCTTCCGGCTCGATTCGATTTGCCACGCCACCACCGGAAGACGCGCCGGCGGTCAGACTACGTTCGCCCAGGAGCTCGCTGAAGTCAACTCCAGCAGGAAAGACGATGTACTTCTCGCGCCCGACGGTGAGATTCCGCCATTGGATGAAGCAATCTTCGAGCCAGGTGTGGTTAACGACGGGGATGGACCAGGAGAGGGCTTTATTCGCTTTTGTGCCTTTGATGCTGAAAGAAAGAATGTTGGTACGGAAGGAGGGAGGAGAAATGAGAAGGGCGAACGTACTAGGCCGCGATGAGAGCCGTATTCTGTCCTGACATGCTCGGCGTAAATTCTGCGCCCATAGCTGTAATAAGTTTCTTGAGGTATTCGCGCGCCTCGCCGGTGTAATTCGTGACCGTAATCGTCTAAATTCAAAATTAGAATCACAAACACGATAGGAAAGCAGGCAAAAGACGTACGTGATGGCTGAACCCTTCAATGGGCCTCTTCGGAACCGGATAATGCAATAGCTGATCCAGCGGACGTGCGAGGATGCCTGTCGACTGGACGTGGAAGAGCCACGCGAGCGTGCCGATCGTCTTGCCGCCTTTCACAGCCTGTCGCGTGGGATGAATTAGCAATCATTTCAGTTACCACACGAACAAAAATGGCAAGCATCCAACCATACCTGGACATACGCCTTCCCCCACCTCCATCTCGTGACGAAAATGTCACATTCGTCAACTCGGTCTGCCTCATGCCGCCTCCTAATCTTCTCCTGTCGACTGAGTTTGACATTCCAGTCGCCTGAGCTATTCTCGTCCTCCTCTTCATCGCCTTCGAACCGTAGCACGATGCCGCCGGCACGTTCGACGCCCTTTTGGACGGCCTCACGCCTGTTGCCATATAGTTGAAGAGTACGGCTGAGTAAAATCTTGCGGCCTGCCCAGACCTGTATGCCAGCCTTGATGCTGGAAGGCCCTGGAGTACTGTTGACGCTGCCATCAGGATTTCCGGGTACACCATTGTTGACAAGAGAAATGTCGGCTTCCGTCGGTGGCGAGGAGCGATTCATAGACGGCGTGAAGAGCGCAGCCGTGGCGTACATGTTCCTCTTCACGTCATCCTTCTCTACGTCCGGGATGTCCTTCTCCTTGCCTTTAGCCTTCTCTTTCGCATCTCCCCCTGGAGCCGCCGGCCCACGCAGGAGCGCGGGCTCCGGCCACTCATACGGCCGCGTGTCAAGCCCACCCATGCCCAGACGGACGGCGTCGTCAAACCAATGTGGCAAGACAACCTTGATGCCAGTCTCCTCGTGGTAGTGCATCGCCGTGGCGTACTTCGCGGACCCAGGATTGAGTGCGAAGAGGTGCGTAACGTCCTTGGTGAGACCTGTACGCCATTGGCCCCCCAAGGCAGTTATGCCGGCTGAGAGGACCTCGAGGTCTGCTGCGGGTAGGTCGGAGGCGCAGGCAACGACCCCAGAAAAGATGAGAGAGGGGTCGGCCGAAAAATGGCTGCCTCTGTTACGGTAGACCAGTTGAGACGATGTCATCAGAGAAAGGGAAGGGTACGTACGATTGCAGCTTCCCAAGAACAATACTCCTCTCAACCCATTTGTCCGTTACAACTTCCACCACCTTACCATCCCCGTTCCCACCATCGCCCCCACCCTGCCCCTCCATACGCGCCGCAATCACCTCCCACCCCTCAAACCGCACCGAGTTGCTCACGACCGTCGTCAGCTTCGGGTCATTCACCCCCAGGTCCTTGTCAGCGGCCTGCCCCCCGTGCGCATCTAGCACGAATGCCAGCTCCTCCGCACGTGTGGGCGGCAGGGACGAGGCCAGGTGGTAGGTGATTCCCGCAAAGATTTTGTATTCCAAAGCTGGTGATGACGCTGGTGGTTGGGCTGGCGATGATGGCATGGTCTAAAGGATAGGGTGAAGAGATCCAGGACGTAGACGCGTAGAGATGGGTCCCACTGGGTCGCGTGTCGTGTTTGTCGTATGTCGCAGAAATGAGTTAGTCGTGTTACTTCGCGTCCGACTGGATGGGTTGGAGATGTTGAAATGGCTAGATGTAATTCGTGTTGTACAGCCTCTTCAGATAATAGATGATTGGAATCGTCGTCAGATTAACGGCCAAGAATCGTAGGGGGATGAGGTCGGGAGAAGAATACAAATCAACAAAACGCGGTGTGACAACGCGTGACCTGATTTCTGTTGATGCTGACAAGGTGTTTGCATTTGCTTGGCCCCAGGGCCCAGACGCGCCAATTGATCGGCGTGTCGCGAATTCTGAGGATGCGGAAGGCTCTGTGCCTTCTGTGTGTTAGGGGAACCTGTTATCCAAAGGCGCTATAACCAAGTGGTTACGGCGGTAGATTCGAACGAGTTCACTCATCTCATCTGTTCCGGGGACTACCTCGCCTGCCCTCGCTCTATGTGTGGGATGTGAACCAAAGCTATCGCAGGTTATCCTGCTGGCGTCGCTCATGTCGTAGTTTTTTGACCACCTACGTGCAGCTCCTATTATTTTTCATTGAGCACACCGTGGTTCATATAAATACCAAAAATAAATCACGAAGATCCTATTGTTGCGTCCGGAGAGCTGAGAGGCTCCATGACAATCCGCTCTAAATTACATTCAGCCTCCATTCATTTGTGGATATGTCCTATGCTTGACATCACCCGTCCTGGAGTCGTCGTGCGTCAAGGTCAGTATTCCTTAGAGCTTACATAACTAGTTCGACGTCTGCAACGCCTGCGGATTGAAATATTGAAGATTGACGCCCAGTTTTCTTTATTCCCACGCTATAGCTGCGCCTTGATTTGCGTTCCCCACTAAAGATTTGATTTGATTGACCGAGGCGAAGAGAAGCCATATCCCGCTGGCTTCGCGTAATCTATAATGCCTTTCTGCGTCCCCCACCACTGAATGTTCGGTATGCAAATGGAGGCTCTACAATAACGTGTCGCATGGTGACAGTGTTGCTTATCAGAGGTCTGACTCCCACAGGCCCCACAGCAAGGACTGAATTCTCAAAAAAAAAAAACAGGAGGCGAAACGGTTATTATTGCATTGAGAACCGTTACATTTGAATTGCATATGACGGGCGCCTGAAACTTGTGTCAACTAATTTTGGATGGCAGTAAGATAGTCAAAAAGTTCATTCCAGCCTGGAGACACCCCTTCCCTTCCTTCGTCAATCTGGCCACAGACGAAGATAAAGAGGACCGCAGTGAGGAGTTCATTTTGTTGTTGATGTGCGGCAACTGAACACTGAGATAACACCGAGCAGACCATCACGAAGGGCAAAGCGAAGAGCCCTTCTGTTCCTCACCCCAGCCAAGATGCGGCCAAACGGGATGCGGTTGCATCTCGAGCATAGCAGCGTGGGTTCTTATGAACACCTCTGCAGACCTGTTTGAATCCTTGGCTGGAGTAGTTGGACCTCTTTGGTAGTGATGAGCCGGACTGCTCCCTGACCCCGGTAAATCCCTTTTTTCGACCTTCATCATCACATTCTCGTCGTCCCCTCGATCCCCGACACCTTTCCCATCGAGCCATATGATTCCTCGACACACCCGGAGATCCTCAGTCAGCAAAAGCATCCGTCCCGTGACCGGCACCGCCTCTTTCCCTCTCTTTCCCGTTTCACCGAGACGCTCGGCGCGCCACCCTTTCCTTGTTAGGTAGCCTTTTCCCCCATCAACGCAGTTGCCGCCTCGCCGCCTCTCCCCTATTCCATTCCTGTTTCATTCTTATCTGAAATTTTCTGTTTTTCTTTCTTCCTTCACCCACGGCTCGGATATCTTCCTTGCCGGGCTCTTCTTTCTTCATAGATATAATTCATGTCTACACACTCACACAATATAGAGAATTTAGTTCGTTTTTCCGTCTCTCACCTCCCTCGTTCCTCGCTCTCTCACTCGTATTCCGGAGGCACCGTTGCCTCATTCGTCCCGTTCCCACGCTTAGCGCCCGCATTCGCCATCCGTCTTCGAGTCGCGCGCGCCCACTGGTTAGAGCCGCACAACCACGGAACTGTCCTCGCACCTCAGAGCCACTCATTTCGGTGTTTTGGGTGTGTGTTTGTCATTCATTATTCGCACGATCACCCCACCGTAGGCACATCATTAGACTACCCATTGCCAGTATAGCCCTGCTGCTGCGATCCCAACCACCTTGCTATTGTCGTCATGAGCCAGCTTCGAGAAGTGGTACAAGGCTTGTGTCTTCATATCTGTTTGCGCAGATGTAAGACGGATAAAAATTTCATCCTCATCTTCAGTGGGTGGCTTGATTTCTACAATTAACAGAATCTTCTCCCTTAATGTTTGGTGGTGCCCAAATTTGCAGCGTGAAACCACGAAATCGGGGAATTTGGTGCTTTTGGCGAGCTGGGCAGTGGTATTTGCGGTCTTCACCTGGAGGTCTCGCTGAGGAAACACCAAGAGGTTCGGAGACGGACTTGTAAGCCCATAAAGAAGCAGGTTCCACAGCCCATACCATCTTGCTTCTGGGGTTCTATCTTGCCCTTGGTCTGAAGCAATCAACGCGTATTTCTGGCGTTTCTCCTTGTAGTAGACAAAAGTTCCGACCATGGCGACTGTGAATAATGGATTAGTCGCATTAATAAAATGATACAGTGCTTCGAATTTCAAGAACAGCGTACCTTGGGCTGGGAGTGAGGTATGTTGGGTGGCTCTGTGGTGTTTGGCATGAAAGATGCGGTTTATATACCGTTTTAAAGTCGATCCACTTCACCTCGCTTAGGCAGGGTATAACAAAAATAACAATTAAACTTTCATTCTGCCAGAATAAGTCTCGCTATTTATTCAACCCACAGTTCTTTAACAAGATATGCCGGAGATGCCAGAGTGTGGATGAAGATAGGGACTCATGTCGTCTGCACCCTCACAAACGCCATAGCTGCATGTAAGTTCCATTTCTTGGTCCGGTTCTTCGCTTAGAAGACATCTGTGGGTCATCTAGATCTCGATTGGTTCTACGGAGAACAACATGAGGAGATCCCCGAAGTTTACTTTTTAGGTTAAGTGTTTGTGGCGGGAGGAACGTATCCCAGTCCGCTCAAGTTGCATTCCATTCCTCTGCAGATTACAAGAAAGTTTGACTTGCGTTCTTAATTATTTCACTTTTGTATTTCCCTCTCTAGAAAATGGAATCTCTCTTGTTTCCGGCCACCATCCGAGTAATTATATCATAGGTTACGCTGACGAAATTGACTTTTTTGCCCTTTATTTCTGCCCATCATCATGATGTCATCCGTGAAGCATCTCAATTTTAATTGTTGTTGCCGTCGTAGAATAAAGGAGGAGCCCACGTTTCCCTTAAGTATTGTCACGGGCTTCAAAAACCCGCCAGGTTGACGGGTAGGGTCAGCAGGGTAAGGGTACGGGGTTGGCAAGCGTCGTCAAACCCGCACCCGTGAGCCGAGTTGGTTGGTCCAGCGGCCCGTTTTCATTTTCGCGATGCGACAGGCACCCACGGGTTTGCTGGGGGGGAAGCGCTGGAGTACGCCGGGGCTACCCGTGCCAATCCCTAATTTCCAGTCCATTATCAGGGACCAGTTGGAGACTGGGTAGCATGCCATTAAGCGAAGCCCGATCGAGATTTCTAGCGTCTTTTTCCACTCTGAAGACGGCAAATTTAATTTGAAACCGGGCATAATAGACTGTCAATTTAGAGAGATCCGGGAATGGAGACGTCAACTACAGCGGACACACGAAAAAAATTTCCAATAGTCACCGCGGTGGATGCTTAGCGCTTACCGCTGTGTTGTCACGTGAGCTCTCCTTCTGGCGTATATATGCCTGCTTCGAAAGTGACAACCGCAAGGCTTAGCGCTAAACAGCCAGATACCACTTACCATGAACCTAAACATTCCGCAAACTGGGCAGAAACCTGTTGACCGCGGTCCCAAATGGGCCAAAGCAGGCTTCTCAGGCGACTTCAAGCTGACTCCCCAACTAGGAGAGGGTATGCTTACCTCTTCATGCACACCTTGATCCACATTTCTGATGCTGGTGTGGCACTCCTACAGGCGACGTTGACCCTACCCACTGGGCGGTCGAATTCCAAGAATACCCAGGCCCTTACGATGCCTTTCCGGCGGGCAAGAAATTCTGCAAGTTCTATAGCATTCTGAACAAGTACGGCTTGAGCTATTCGGACGACTTCAACAAGCGTGGTGTACGCTTCTCTACTCATCAAGAAGGGGTATACCTCATCTACCAGATCATATTCAGAGATGCAGCCGAAGCAAATGTCCATATATGCTATGTAAGTTGTCTGTGGTAGGACATGATTCCCAAATGAATACTTACCGTTGTATATCCATCTTGTTTGGTAGGGTTACAAGGACCCAGATGGTCCCGGAGAACGTCTGCCGGTGGTCACCATAGGGCTCCCTGATCGCCCGGCGACCGCTGAGCAGAAGCAGAAGGTGGCAGCCCTGATGGGTCTGGAAGTTGAACAACTCATTCAAGTTTACATTGCCGCGCCGTGACCTGTCGGAGCAGAGTGTTGGATCCCAGATAATATTCACGACTATTCTAGATCGGATAAGGATGGCATACTGGAGTAGGACTGGTAGCGTAGTGACGGTATGAATGCGATTATGTACCTCGCAATTGGTCTTAGAGCCCTGAAACTAACTAATGCAATTAACTAGAGCGCTTCACGGCCGTTCTTTCGTTGTTGGGGCTGCTGATAATGCCATCTGGTGTGCCGCTGCTGGGTTGATCTACTAGACGTCGACTGACCCAAAGCAACGTAGACGACTGGGACACTTGAATGCAGCTCTCTGCTGCGCCGACCACAATTTGAAATTTGAAACCCTTACAACCGCATGCAGCATCGATGGCGACAGTTGTGCATTGCCCTTTCAGCGGTGTTCGTGAGTGTGTCGACCTCCTCCGAGTCGCTCCACTCTCCAGTACGGCTGGCGTCACTGGCATTGGTCTGCGTTGTTCTTATACAACGGTCTTTTTCTCTCATGGCTGCTCTTTCCAGAAGAACGGTGGACGCGATACAAGCGGAATAGTGACGATAAATTACCAGGACCCACTAGGGATCGATGGGACAACGGAAATATCTAAGTATTAATGCGTACGTAGAGTAAGTAGAACCAGTCTGTCGACGACTAGGGTTGTCCTATACTTGCGAGGGAGACAAATCGCCATAATCAAAATTCTCGAAGGTATTGTCTTCATATCAGCAGTGTCGTGCTTTTCATCGATAGAAGGAGTGTCTTTCCTGACGAGATGAGGAAGAAAGTGGGGACAAACCTCGAGGTCAGAGGCACCCCATCCCAAGTGGAAGATCAACTTTCTAAACCCGAGAAGCGCGGCATTGTCAGCAGATATCGGAATTTTGTGAGCGAGCTGCTGTAAGCTCGAAGTTGGCCATTGAGTAAAGAATGACGTGTTCCGGAGTCTCGATGTCTGCATGGTGCACGCATGATACCTACAGCAGTGACATAAACGATCGTTAACGGGAATAACAAGTGGACTCACAAAGAAGTATCATTGTTACTATGAATGGCGTATGGTTGAAACCTGTATGAAGTAGAAACAGGAATGAGCACGTAGAATGAGAGGAATTTTGATTCAGGGCTGGACCCCACCTTCAACGCCCTAGAAGAGACATGGTGAGGAATGAAAGATCCAACGTCAAGAATATAATCCTTGAGAAAGAAATCATTGATACATATAAGTATAGTGAATCGCAGTTTTTCGTGCAATCGCTCGGGGGGGCCTAGGGCATTATGTTCAGATAAAGGAAGATATTTTGAGCCGGTTGAGGTGACCCTATATCGGAGGATTGACAAGGTTGAGCAAGCCGTCTCAATTGATATAGTGTCGCAGCACACAGACAGCGATTTGTGAGCAAGTTCGAAGAGTTTGAAGCAGCCGGGTTGAATAAGCGTTTCGCATGCCGGGCATGACTTATTGAAAGCTGTGGCGAAGAAGATGTCGACACTTTGAAAGAGATGTTTCCCGCATATCGGGACGAGAGCATGGGGGCTCGAGGAGAGCGTACAAAAGACTTCAGTATCATTCTGATATTTCGTCAGAGAAGGCTTCTAAAATCTCGAATGGGAGCGTCCAAGGAGCTCTTGTTGAGACGTTGCTGAAGGCGTTCATACATAGCTGTGAAAAGGAGAGAACGAGCGGGCTGAGGAAGACTCAACATCTCAAGATCTCCTCACAGCATCGCCGCCCATCTCACTCGCCGCCCATCTCTCCTTCGCCGGCACCCATCCCCACCGGCGCTCCTCCGCCCCCTTCCTTCTCGCGGCGTATGGCTTGGACGACATCGTCGACGCGCAGCAACATACGCGCGGCCTGGAGGAAAGATAACGATAAACAAGTTTTAGTAATAGAATCCGGAGGGCGACAGAAGCACAGACGAATGGAGAAAGAGATGACTGGATGGGAAACGAAGACGAAGAGAGAGCCTTTATGGGGGCGCGGAATACGGAACAGTATGCGTGAAGGAGACAGGGCAGGAACAGAAAAGTGGATGTGGGGAGCGGAGATCAAGATGATGACGAAGTACTAAGATGAGAACGAGTAGAAAACGGTCGAGCACGTACCTCAATGGCTGTTTTGAGCGTCTGTATCTTGACGCTGGCCGATTCGTACAGGCCATAGGTCTTCATGTCGACGATACGACCTGTGTCTCCATTTACACCCCAGGAATACTCGCCGTTTGCGTGTTTGGCCTACGAGAAAAGACTTGTTAGTTAGGGAGAATCGTAGATGCGGGTATCGAATCGAAGACGGAACAAGAGACTGGACCCCCAGGTTCGATCGCAAAGAGGTAAAAAGAGGAAAACTCGAAGAATGACGAACAAGATATGATGGGGAAAGAAGGCGAGATTTGAAAACAGAACTCGAGAAAAACACGTACCCTCAGCTCTGTCAACTCCCTCATCGCATTCCCACCCGCATTCTGTACCAACGTCCGCGGAATGACCTCCATCGCGTCTGCCACAGCCCTGAATGGCCACGCCTCCACTCCATGCACCTGCGCTACAGTACTCCCACCCCCACGCGCCTTCGCGTGCAGGCCCACAGAAATGGCCATCTCGGTAGCACCGCCCCCAGGGCAGAGGAAGGGGTGAAAGACGACGTTTCGGGCGACGGACATGGCGTCGGCGAGGTTCCTGTCGATCTCGTTGAGGATGTCCTTGGAGGGCCCGCGCAGAAGGATGGTGCAGGCTTTTGGAGACGTGCATTCGGTGAGGAAGGTGAAGTATCTGGAGGAAAGCAAGGGAGAGGAAGAAGAGGTTAAAATCGAGAAAACAAAGGCTAAAATGGTCGAAGACGATGACAACGATCCGACGGAAGATGAGAGGGGATGAAGGAAAGGGAGAACGAGATGACAATGATGATGATGATGGAGGAACAGAAATTACACGAAGGAAAGGCACGAAGAGAAATGACGTACTCATCACCGATCTTCTCGATGTAAAACAGTCCGCATTCCGTTCCAACATCTGCTTCTCTCAGATCTTCGATGCGGTTGACGATGGTCGCGCCGACAGCGAGGGCGATGCGGTTGTTGTCCGACTTCCGGACGCGGCGAATGGCGGAGACGTTGTTCTGAGTGAAGACGTGTTGGGCTAGGTCTGCCGCAATGAGATGGTGGTGTCAGTTGCGAGTCAACAACGGGGATATCGAAGAGGACAACGCACCTGAGATGCCCTTCTCGGTGATGATGAGGTCGGGTTTGAATTCCAGTATCTTATAGCATAACTCCTTGACCTGCTCCTCTTCGATCTCCTGCGCCCTAGCCCAGTCCGCCTCCTTCGAAAACTCCATGTTCGTCTGCGACTCGCCCTTCTTGTACTCCAGAGGACAGTCCAACAGCACTATCCTCGGCTTCTCAATCCTCCTCCGCATGTTCGGGTGCGTGATGTCCTTGTTCAGCATGACACCCTTTAGCACCTTGCTCTGCTCGATCTCTCCTCCGGGGATCTTTTCCACCCTCGCATACCGCTTGATATCGACCGTCTTGAGACCATCAACGTCCTGCGAGACGGTTCGGACTGCTTGAAGCGCGAGGTTGCACATGAGCTCCGACCAACGCATGACGAACTTGGTCCCGATGGAGGTCTTGATCAGCGAGAGCATCTGCGCATCGTCGTTGACGTCGATGGGTATCGAAATACGCTTGACGATTTCAAGGGCCTCTTTGAGAGCCTTGTTGTATGCGGAGATGATGACCACGGGGTGGATGTCGCGTTCAAGTTGGGAGAGTGACTGCGCGAGGATCTCGCCGGCTGGACAGAGGTAAGAATGAGAAGAAATGAGGGCGAAAAATGCGCACCGAGGATGATAACACTCGTAGTCCCGTCGCCGCACTCCTCGTCCTGCGTCCGGCTAAGCTCGATCATGTTCTTCGCTGCTGGGTGGGCCACGTCGATCTCGCGGAGAATCGCGTTTCCGTCGTTTGTTAGTCTGTAAAGGGGTGATCAGCTTGGGCAACAAAGAGACTGAACATGACTTACAGAATACCTCCCATGGGGTCCAAAATCATTTTCAGCATAGCTTTGGGGCCCAAACACGTTCGAATGACGTCCGCGACTGTCTATAAGCTCATTGGAGCGGCTTTTTGAACGATATGGATTCAGTACTCACTTTCGCTGCCGTGATGTTTGAGATCTGGGCTTTTCGCCCAGACTGCCGTTCAGGCGCAGTATCTACAATGAAGATCAGGAATGTTGTCCGTGATTGAGTAGGGGTGTACCGTACTCATCACGAACACTGGTGTTTGAGACATGGCGGGTGTTTGGACGATGGAGGAGGTATCTCAAGACAGACCTTGCTCAAGACTTTTTCGTCGAGGCCCACTGGATCATTATGTAAGCTGTAAGGCTCAAAATCGGCCAAGCGACGGCAGCTCGAAGTTGGTTATACTTAGGGGACAAAAAGGCACGGAAGAAATGCTTTCGGCGTATGGGAATTACCACTTCATAGAACGAGGACAGCGGTACAAAGGAAACAAAACTAGATCTAAGCACATGAGAGACGCCAGGCGAAAAATGTCAAGCGAGAGATTCGCGCTGAATCATGGCTTCTGGGGACCGTATCTGGAATGAAATAAGTAACAAATATCCTCGACGATATTTGGGTGTATCTACTCTATATAAGCTCTGACACTTGTTGAGATAGGACTTAAGACGCCTCTCCGAAGGTGGGTCTGATATCACAGGTCATACAATTTATTTAGAGGGAGGAAAGATTTTCGATATCCCCTCTCAATTTCTTTTGGGTGGAGATAGGAAATACGCCGATACTTCAATCATCGTGCAATTTAATCGCCTCCGCTTTGCAATGAAGTTCTACTCCCGGAAATCCGCAAATATTTGTGCAGCTTTTGCGAAACAACTCCGAATGTTCGACCTCGAATTGAGGGACGTCAGAATCCCCGGGCGCGTCTTCTTCGTGCATAGTTAGATAGATCCTTATAACAATTTGACGAAGACAGGGATATCCCTGTGCGGTGAAAACTTGATCGAAGTCGGAGAGATCCGCGGCAACGCGCTGGGGATTGGCATGCCGGCACGAGAAGCGAAGCTCGAGCCGCTCGAATACGTTGAACCCCGAGAGTCTCTGCAGTTCTGAGCACAACCCCAAGAACGGTGTTTGGGGGACGCCGAAAGACCAATAAAGCGTGCCAAAGACGTTGATTGTGAAGGTCGTCAATGATTGAGAGGGACCTTGCAGGAGACAGTCTGCAAGCCCAGTGAAAGGATGTCCCGCATCTGGAACTGAAAGAGGGGTCGCTTAGCGTTAGTAATGACTTAAAGAAAATAAAAGAGACTAACCGTCAAGATGGAGGTTCTTCAGGCCCTTTGCTTCGTTAAAATACCTGGCAGCGAATGTCACCCCCAAGTCCGCCTTCAGTCCAACACCAACCTCAATGGTTAAGGTTTCCAGTTGGGAGAAATTGAAGAGGGGTGGATTCGTTTCTATAATGGTAGTGCTTGACCCAATGGATCCAATGGCGACAGAGGAGACAATCGGGGTGAACTCTTGGCGCACCTGTACCCCATAGTCGGCCCCAGTCGGAGAGGAAACGACAACAGATTTCTCGCGGATTCTGGGGCCGATCGGGTCACCAGCTACGTGTAGGTGGCTGATGTTGAGATAGGCAAGCTTTGGACCGGATATCGAGCGGAGGATGAAGATGGGGAAGTTATCGATGTAGGAGATGTAGAACCAACGAAGAGTGGGCTGTTTAATGATCATCGTGATTGCGCGGGCTAAAAGGGGTGCCTCTGGAACGATTTCGAGCTCCCAGTCGAGCTCAAATGACGTGACGACTTGAGCATTGTGCTCGAAGTGGAACTTGTCGACACGATTGAGATAATTCAGTATCTGGGGGATGACGGGGTCATGCAAATCATCCCGATCAATGTAGTAGCGCAGTCCACGAACGTAGACCGCGATTTCTGGACATGATTGCAAAGTTTGAAGCAGCCGCGTCAGGCAAGTGTTGCATTTGTCCCTGCTGGAATCTGTCACCATGAATATGTCGACGCTTTGAAAGAGATGTTTCCTGCATATCGGGACGAGGGCATGGGAGCACAAGCAGAGCGTACGGAGCGTATCGGTATCATTCTGAAATGATATCTCGTCAGAAATAGCTTCTAATATGTCGAATGGGAGTGCCTGAGGATCCCTCGTCGAGTTTTTGCTGTCCGCGTTCATGGTGGCAAGAAGGAGAGCGGGCGGGCCGAGGAAGACGGAAAGCCTGGTCATCAAGACTCAAATCGGTGATCGGCGCGGCCGAGTGGGGGCTTTATGGCAAAAGACAATTTGATATGGGTTCTTTATTTGGTGGCACTCCACAAAGTTGAAGTACTTACTCTGGAAAATTGAACATCGCTCGGGCTACAGCATCCCGGCTCTTGGGGCGCATCGAACGAGATCAGGTACTGCAAATTGGGGACATAGGTTCCAATTTCTGGACACGGTTGCAGGAGTTCAAGGAACCTGCGGAGGAAGCTCTCCCGCGAGGATGCTAGGAAGTCAAGAACCATCTGTTCTCCGGGGACGTCAGAACCACTTTTCCACTTTGAGCGGGCGGGATTCCAAGGGTTCGAAACATGTGTCTCTAGTAGTAGCAGACGGGAACGGGTGCATGGCAACACAAGGACAATCGTTTGGGCGTGTCGAAATCTTGTTCAAATAAAAGATTATCGACGACCTCAGAAAGAACATCCAGTGGGAGCATTGGAAAGGGATTTTCGGAAGTAAGAGGGGTGCCCATGACCTATCCTGACACCAGCTCAGAAAGATTTTCCAGGAGGCGTTTGAGACGGCTTACTAGTGATGTTCTTCGTGTTAGGTTCCGGGTCGCGGGCAAATATAGAGGCTTTCTCACCATTGGAGCATTGGTAGCGACATAAACGAGTGAAATTCGAGGACAACAGACGTAGATGGAAGGAGGCTGTGCTGATGTTGGAAGATTCCAGCTTTCTTCGGGCCGCCGACATCTCACTGGATCAACGAAACGCAGTAAATGCTCCTGGAAGCAGAATATCCGGCGAATCTCGTATTTTAGAAGGTAAAATTCTCAAGATTTTCTGTTTTCATGCATCTAATTTCGCCTGTATCTGGGGCGGATGAACCGCGCGCGGTCAGGACCTGCCTAGAACGGCAAGGGAGGCGTAGGGGTTCCATGAATATGGCGAGAAAATAGACAAATGTAATACGTGAAGGGGAACGTCAGAGCACAAATTTCTCTGTTAGGAACCTGCAAACGTCGGCGGTCAGTCCACGAATAAAATGCGAACATCGGAATTGAAGGAGAAAGAATAAATTTCTAACAAACCATGCCCAAACCATCTTCTTCCCAAATGCTCAAGACTGGGAGAGAATTGTCTGTCTACTGACTCGTAGTTGGAACACCCATTTAAAGGCTGGGCGCGTATGTTAGGTGAGCGAAAGGTACTGCAATGTATTCACTTTGTATAAGAGAGTGGGCGACCACCTGAGCGCGTAATGCGTGGTTAGGAGGGAAGATGTACGCACAGACTTCATGCGCCACCCTGAGCACTCAGCGCCACTGATTCACAGCCCGAATTACTCAACAAACGAGGCTTACACTCGGCAATGTACATCTGGTATGATAGACCCGTGAGACAGCAGTAGCGACTCGGAGAGCCTGTAAGGAGTAGACGTCTCATTTTCGAACGGGTAGAGTCGATGATGGCGGTGCCTCAGATCCTTGAATTGGAATTACATCCTCGAGTCCTCGACAGTGCGGTCTCGACCTGCAGTGTGGGTGTGAGCATCTACTTGAATTCATCCTGACCGATGCCAGGTCAGCTGAGTCGTTCGACAGGATTAACAAAAGTAATTATATGTCATCCGCGTCAGGGCTGCCACCTCCTTCGTACAGATGAAAAATCTGCATCCTCTTTCAACGGCGAACTAAACCACCGGAACGCACGGTTATCTTGACTTTAAAGACCCAAGGCACCTTAACAGCCCCCCGACGTCTTAATGAGCCTAACGGCCAGCGATAATCAAGAGTTACGAGTTGTTATCGATGGAATAGCCTCTCGTGTGAGTTTTCACCGTGGAACTTCGGCTCGAAGAGGAGAAAGGAAGGAGCGAGGGAGGCAGACTGACGCGTCGACCCATGCCGTCCTGACTTCCGAAATTAAAAGATGATCAAAGACACGACAAATTCTCGCGCTCGTCCGGGAGGTCGGAGTACTGGGCGATACCTTTTTATCGAGTGTTCTGGTCTTGGAGGACCGTACTCCGAGTCGGTGACCTTCATGAAGTCGTTATCGATAGAACGTCGGTTAGGCTGCGCGATCGATGAAATCGATAACGGCCTCTCCCTTCTATTGCCCAAGCGCCGTATCAGAGCAGGCAGTCAACACCGCGTGTTTAAAGTCGAACCCAGGTTCAAAACACCACCCTCGGCGCGGAGACGAACCTAGATACAAGCGACAAAATTAAGAAGGCGAACCTTCGGCCCGGCAGGCGGCCGCCCTGGTGAAATCAAATTTTCTTGATGAGATGAATATGTGAAAGGAGGTTCCAGCTCGTCGCCGTTCGTTGTGAAGACTCGGTAGCCAAGGTGGTGACGATCGACAAGTCGGCGGTGTCGGCGTCGAGCCGTGGAAATTGGAGGATTTACTACGGCGTGCGATAATCCATCTGCGTTGCCCATGGTGTGCCAAATGGGGGGAACACTGACGCACAGGAGAAGGTTTGAAGGCATTTCAGCTCAAGTGCAGGGCTTTGAACGATAGAACGTCTAAGAAACTTCTCTCGATTGTTGACTGGTGAGTCCACAACTCAACCCATCGACCGCAAATGCGGGGTGATCGACCTCTTAGTCCACACCCCCAGGGACAACGCGGTCCGTTGACCAGCACAAAGTGAGATCAGAGGAAAAAGAAGCAACGAGCTGGAAGTAGGGAAGTACAAGACCCCAACGAAAGGAAGACTAATCCCCAACGCAGTCACGGAAGGAAGGTCGACCTCCCAGAAAGTACTTATCCGCGAAAGGGAAATAGACGTATATGGGCAAGGGTGGGGTATAGATCCCGGGTGCCTTCCGGAGGACGGACTCGTGCGCTCAGGGCTGGAACGCTAAGCGAGCGTCAGCTGAGAAGGAAAGCAAGGGTCCAGTCGGATAAGCAAGGGCGAGAATAGCCATAACTTGTACAAAGGGGAAGGCGAGCCAGGGTAAGGTAAGGGAATTACGAGATGCAACCTGGGGTATGTACGTCAAGATAAGTCAACTCAGGGAGGGTTGAAGGTTGCGCATCATCCACACTTACGAGGAGCACTGTATTGGGCGGGAATGAGCGATCGGCACGAGGCATGACGAGAGCATAGCTCCAGCTATTCACCGGACGTACGAATGGGAGGTAGCCATGTTGTTGGATAACATCGAGAAGGTTTAACCGACGTCGCGATGGAGTCTATTCAACTTGGAACGCGAAACAGCGTTGGCGTTAGAATAGAAGTCCCGTCCTTTTGTCTTTTGCATTCCGCGTGTCGTGTGCGCGTTTAACATACGTTTGTCCATTGTTATATTTCCGAAATAGGAAGTTGGGGGGCCCGAGGACCTGTCAATCAGATCGCCCACCTTGCAGGTCTCCAACAGTCGCCAACGACAATCGAAATGAAAGACGAGGCCTCTGATCTATCACGGGTGACGGCGGTAAGTATGTGGATTGCCAATGCATTGCCAACGGGTAACGAAGGATGCGCAGGCGGCCGGGCACGACAGGGCGATACGGGACCTCGCGTTCACCGCGAGGCGATGTGATTGCGTCGAGGGAGAGGTTCTGGAAGTTAGGATGAAAGGAAGGGGCGTCGTGGCGTGGTCGAACTCGTGTACGGTGATGGGAAGACGGGACGGTGATGAAATCTGATGGATTTGGGCACGGAGGTGGGCTGGTGTGTCCTGTTTTCTGCATCCGGCGGAGAGTGGCGCTTACTTCGTGGAACCGGGATGACTTGGACGGGGGGTAGGGGAAGAGGTCCGCGGCAACAGACACATTACAGAGATCACTCGTATTCGGCAGACCGAGTGAGAAGAAAAGTGGCCTAAAGGAGTGAGAGATGACTCCGGTCGGGTATAGCGAGCCAGTACGAGGATAGCAGTCGATCGAGGTCAATTTTTAGAGACCCTGCCTCCGGGATTCCGTCCCTAGATGTATTGTTTTTACGGGCAATCAATGAGTTCTTCTGTGAGTACATTTGAGGTTTATCACATAGAAGACGTAGATTTTGGCCTACGACGACGACTGGGTGTATAACACATGTTGATGGGTGTCTGGGGACTCTTGAAGTTCAGCCGCGCAGTCCTCCTCCTAATTTCGAGGGACGGTAAGAAAAGAATCCCAGATATTCAAAGTGTCGACAGTGAGGCGTAATGCAATTTTCGGATACACGACTTTATGAAACACTTGACCCAATCCTGTACATGGCATATAGGCAGTGCGGGTCAAATTGAGCGTTTAATCTATGCGCATGGGCGCTTTACGGAAGGCGTCAGTTTATGTCTGCCGGCTGACTATCGTGTGCGGGGAAATTTTGGCATGTGATCGATAGGCGCTCAGCACGAGCATGACGGTCCCCTAGGGGAAAGTTCACGAAGCTTGATCTGGGGAAAGGTGCGTTATATCTCCCTCTTTCGTTTTCTGGATTCGCACCGTTTAGGAGAAAGAGAACTCGACTGTTCGCAACGAATTGGGGTAAAACCAGTCAAAGCCTGGTGATTCACCCACCTTCCAAAATTGTGGCGCAGAACGAGACTCAAACCCACATTCAAATTCGCTGACTGAAGCAGAGGTTGTGTGCCTTTGACCCTTTCCACCCTTCTCAATCAGGCAGACGCGTTTTTTTCTGGGCGCCGACAGCCGCTGACACGATTAATAGACATTTCAAAATTCATGTAGACAAGACGTTTTCCTGTGCCCCGCGCGAGGATCTGATGAGGCTTGGTAGCACATACTTCCCTATCTTCTCACCTGTCTCGTGGGGCGCTTTGTGGGGCGTACCCTTGAATTGCCAGGAGGATATAAAGTATTTAATGCGACTCCCCGCTTGTCACACGGAGAGGGACCCCATCACTTCTTCCACAAACTTAGTCAGGAGATGACGACTGGGCGCCAGTGTGAATTTCGCGTGAACGTTCTTCTCATCGGTGGAACCTCTGCAGCCATGATCGTGAATACCGTTATAATCACTCTGGCCGGATAGCGGAGCCTGAGAGAAGGCACAGGCCTCACCTCATCTTGTTGGCTGGTCGCTGTCCCGCCTGACTCGCTGCGGAGGCCAGGCAATCCGCCGTCGTCCTTGACGGCTGCCTGGTGTCTTTAATTCTGGGCAAGACGAGTCGGCTCGGGAGTCGGATGGGGAAGGGGGTGTGGCGAGTGGGTTGGACTGCCGTTCGGGGATAGAGCTGGGTGGGAGTGGGTGACATTGTCGTGATCGATGTTGATGCCGCTGGGGTAATACCCGATCGATAAGGAGCTTAGACGCTGGAGAAGAATTGAAGAAGGATGAAGAATCTGCAAAGAAAACTTGAGTGCTCACTGCTTAGTACGACGACCTGAGAGGCGGGCGTCGCTAATCACCATGGCGTCGCACTGGGAACGATGAGCGGCCCAGACCGCTCATCGCGAGGCGACGGTGATTGCGGCGGGGTGCGCACGGCAGCGACGCTTCTAGCGCGTGGTGCGCGCCAAATCGGGCTGCCGCGAGGCCGACACGAGGCGGGACCCCAGAACCGTAATAGCAGCGAACGAGTATTTTTGGGCGACACACGCGGCGGGGGCGTGGTTCTCGACCTCCGGAGCAGTCAGCTGACTCCGAATATGTAGGAGGGCGGCCTATCGCGCGGCCGCGATTGGGTGCCTGCGCGTCGGGATCACCCGGTGGCTGGGGTCTGTGCGCCGCTCGCAGCCGCCGCCCGCGGTTCGGTTCGGGGGGCGAACCGACGCTGACGCCACGGTCCTCGGCGGCAATAAACAATAATTATTTTTTTTGCGGCGTTGTTATTTGACCCCGTCCGACCTCTCTCCGAAATCCGCTCCTCCCCCCAACCACCACCACAACCCCAAACTCGTCGCCGCCGCTGCCAACGACGACGACGACGATCAGAATGGACGTCTCTCCCCATCTTGACGCACGCGCCCCTCCCGCCCAGCAGCCCCCGCCCCCCGCCACGACCTCAGGCGCCGACGCCGCGTCCCCCACTCTCCACCAGCAGCACCCCTCTCCGACCCCTGGTGGGCCAGCATCCAACTCCCAGCTCGCTGCGCTTCTATCAGAGTCATATCGCGAGACCGATGCCCTCCGTCGTGAGCTTACTGCGGCGCGAAAACGCGCAGAGAAGGCAGAGCGGATCGCGCAGGCGCTCGACCCATCTGCCTCAGCAGCAGCAACCACATCCAGCCCTCCATCTGGCGGCGCCAACGCGAGCAACACCACCACCAACGGCCCCGGGCCGACCTCCACATCCACACCAGCTAACCCCGAAGGCTCTAGCACGACCACATCCCCGAGCCCCGAGATCCAGAAACTCAAGCAACAGCACGCAGAGGCGATCAAACACCTTGTTGACGAGTACGAGGAGCGTCTTGCTGCCTTTGAGGAGAACGAGACGCGGCGCAGGATGGCACAAGAGGGCTGGGAACAGCTCGAGCGCTACCTTGGCATGCTCGAGCTCCGCGCACGCGATGCTCGGGGGGCTTACTCGCGGATTGTCGACGCGGCCCCCGGGGCTGCCGGGAGCCCATCCCCGACACTCGCCAGCGCACTCGTGCCCGTAGCTCACCCCTCGGGCCTCCTCGCGTCGAGCCACGGGCACTCGTCTTCCCATTCTTTGGGGGGGCACTCCTATAACATGGCACCACCGCATACATCTTCTTCATCCAGACACACGCGCCACCACTCCCACTCGACTCGAGGGTCCGGCTCCTCAGTCGTCTTTCCCTTGCCTCCCCACCCAAACCCACACGGCTCAAGCACTCACAACTCGACGACTAACGCACTAGCAACGGGCTCGCGCCGGCAGCGGACCCCCAGCATGGACTCTTACGGAGGGGGAGGTGTACTTCAACCACCCAGCAAGCGCCTACGAGGAGACGATGAGAGGGAAAGAAGTACCAGGGGACGCGAGGGCAGAGCATATACTGAGTCTGTACGTCTTTTTCTCGCCTCTCTCCGGCATCGTCAGTCACTTTGAACGAGTACTGATCCTTTTGGCTTTCCTCTCTGTTTTCTCCCACATTTCCCTATTCCGTGTTTCCTTCTCACCGACCATCTTTCCTTCTGAACATCAAACTCAACGCGATCCCCATCTCCGTCGGGACTTGCGGGTGCGGATGCGGATCCTCCCGCCTGCCTCACCTAAAACCTATGCTTATGGTTACGCTACGGTGAGTGAGCCAACACGCCGCATCCTCGTGTTTGCAGCGGGGTCGCTTATCGTTCCATCGATTGTAGATTATCTGCGCATCGACTACGTATTTCGATGTTCCTCAACATCTTTCCATCGTACTCTTCGCGCTCGAAATCGAAATCAACGTCGCATCGCACACCTTCGACATCCTATGACCTTCGTGCTGCTCGATCTTGGCCCTCTCCGCCTCCTCCGACCGCGCCGAAATACCCAATGCCAAATCCAAATCGCCTTGGTTGGATTTTGGATCGGGTTGGGACCGATAGTACATCCCCCACCACCCCGACTACCGCGCCGGACCCCTCCTCCGACCTTCTGATCCAGCAACCCAGAGCCAGCCGCGGATAATCGACCGCAAATATGGGTCTTCGCCCGCACACAACTACCCCACGCACCCGCACGCCCAGGGGCAGCAGCACCACTCCGGACATCACCGCCGCCGGTCCTCGCGATCCCACTCGCGGAGCGGGAGCCACTCGAGCGCCAGCTCGCTCGACGTCGACGAGATGCTCCTCCGCGCGACCGCCGGGGATGAGGGCAGCCCCGTCCAGGGCCACCCGCACCCGGGGATGGTGCAGGCGCCGAACGGGCGGTACTACGACCACATGCAACCCCAACAACCCCAACCCCAACAGCAACAGCAAGGGCAGGCCCAAACGGTAGGCCAGCCCTCGCGCAGGAGGTCGGAGCGTGAGGAGGTGCAAGGGCACCCGAACCACATCGTCCAGCCGTACCCGCAGCACGCGTACCCAGCGAACCAGAGTGCGCCCCCGGGGCATTTGGCGTCTGCGCCGGGGGTGGCGATCGCCCCTGCGCCTCCGGCTCCGCCTGGTGTGCTGCCCCCTGGGACGGCGGCGGCGCAAGCGGCGGCGGCAAGGACGGGCAGCCATGTGTATACGACGCATGTGTTCGCGCCGGTCGTGACGGGTGCGCCGACGAAGAAGAGCAAGTTCCCGAATACTGCGATGGGTGAGTTGGATTTCATTTCTTTCGTCTGGATTGGATTTTTCTCTGTTCTTCCAAATCTTTTTCTTGCTTTCTTGTCGTTCGTTTTGACTCTTCGCACGAGTTGAATTTCGTTTCTTTCTTTCTCTCATTTATTTCTCGTTGTTCGTTTTGGCTCTTGGCCGTCTTGAAATTGAGGACGATAGCTGTCGTCCTCTTCCTCATGGAGCCGTGCCCGCACGCCACACTAGACGTCTCTCGCCTGTCTTTTTTTTGGTTGGGTGACGAATAGTAGTCATCCTCGTCCTTGACCGCCCCGACTCGGGCTAGCGGGCTGTCCGGCGAGCGACCGCCCCTTCTCTCCTCTTTTTCATCCGTTATACTCTGCCCGAGTTTCTTTCCTCTTCTACCGCCCAGTGTTTTTGTCTCGACTTCGCATCGTCGTCTTCGTGACATCGGGGTTCCACGACGACCTCCCACCGAGCTCGGACTCACAGTCTAGAGGTGCGCGTGGACCTGGTCCGTTGTTGATCCACCTCCAATTGAGTTCTTTACGCGCACTTCGTCCGTCTCGGATTCGATTTCGCTGGGTCTCTTCTTTCGTCTCTTATCCCTTCTCTCTTTCCTTTGCTTCTCGTGTGCGAAGATCGTTGCCGTTGCCTCGAGGCGCGGGGTGGGGTTAGAGTTGGGGACCCGCTGACCCGCTCAGCGCCCATTTCCTATCCCTTTCCTCCATCGTCTTTCCGTCTTTCCGTTTCTCCTCCTTCCTTTTTCGAGTTTTACTTCCATTTGCATTTTTGCCTGCGTCCCTTCTTTCTCTCCGATGCGCTCATGCCGTTGCTCCCCTTCACACCCGTCCGTCCTATCCATCGATGGGCTGATAGATGGATGGGTCATGGATGGCGCAATGCCTCCCACGCACGCCAATCCCGCCCGGCGTCCATGCTGTTCCTTGTGCGCTAGTGTGTGTACGCGAGCGCTTTCTGATGGACGGGCGTGTGGGACGCAGAGGCGATGCTAATCATGGGATGGCGCACCAGAGGGCGTTTTCCCATAGCCGACGTCAACGTACGTCGGTGTCGGTGAAATGTAGTGCGAGAAGAGTGCCGCCGACGGTTTCTCAGCGAGACGAGACGGGTCGGGTGATCGTTCTCAGTCGCGGACCCTTTTCTCTCACTACCATCTCCTGGTCCCCCAATTCAGCTCGACTCACCTGGGCGATGGGGTTCCATGGGCACGAATACGACTAGGATCCATGCGCCCCGCGCCGTTCTTCTCCCTTCTTTCCTTTTTCGTCATCTCTTTTGTTTATGGCTTGTTTTTTTTGGTTCCGCGCGGCGCACCGTACTCTGTTGTTGTCCTTTTCCTTTTCCGCTCTTTTGTTTCCGCTCAGTGATTTGATAAGCGAGCTCGGCTTGGGCGATCAGTTGTCAGTTGAAAGGGCGGGCTGGGTTCGTGGTTCGCCCGCTCGCCCGTTTGCGTTCTTCTTTGTTCATTGGTTGGCGAGTGGGAGGAAGGGCACAGGCGTGAAGCGGGCGCCATCATTTTTCATTTGTTCGTTGCCCGCTTTCGATATCGGCCTCCGTTCACGCGGTGCGCAGTGTCTTGTGCGGTTTCCTGTTCGTTGCCATATTCCGCAAACCTCGCACCGCCCCTCCCGTACCCGCACGGCCGTTCCGCACCACCGCACCTCATGTCCGCTCTTCAGGCGCCCTCTTACCCTTTTCATCTTTCATTCCGCCTTCTTCGCCCGCCCTACTCGCTCGAACCGAGTCGTCTGCCTTTTCTAGGGTGTTCGTGGTCCTCAGTGCGGGCAACGAGTTCAAAACTTACTTTGCTCTGTCCTCGTGAGCGTCACTTCACCCCCACCTAGTACTCCGCGTACGACTGCGCCGCGCCGATCACGCCATCGGTCTTCGGCCAGCCTGCAGGGTGCGGCGCGGCATGTCGTGAAGTGTAATACCACCCTGTTCAGATAGGCTCAGGCGCGTGGATGAGTTTATACGGACGTGCGGCGCGGATCTCGCAACACGAGGCGAGGAATGACGACGTTGGGCGGGCAATTTCCCCGCTGTCTACCTTACATTTCGTTATTGTCTTCGTTTCATTTCCCTTTATCCTTCTACATGCTAACTTCCTTCTTAACCTCCGTCTTTCGAAATAGACGCTGACATATTTTTCCCTACTTCTACAGCGTCAGCTGCGAACGTCGACCCGTCCAATCCTGGAGCGGCGGGTAATGGAACCACAGCCTCCGTTCCCTTTGCGGCGACTAACGCGCAAGGCCAACGGATATGCCGACAGTGCGGTATGGTGGGGCGCTACAAGGACGGCAAGTGCGTAGAGAAGTGGGGACCAGGACCTATGGGTCCGGGGACAGTGTGTGATAGGTGAGTGCGGGGTCTTACTGTCTTTCTCGCTTTGGGCGCTCGGTTGGTTTGGACGTAGTGGAACCTGGGTTGGTTCGTGGTCGAAGATGGTTAGATGGGGTGGGAGTGGAGTTGAGGTGGGGGTAGAGCGCGGTGCGAACCTTCCTAGGTCCAAGGTCCAAGAGTCCGCGTCGGGAATCGGGGTTCGGGACCTGATATGCCGTCACATTTCTTTTTTCTGCTGGAAAAGGCCTGAGAAGGTTAGATCCAATATACGGCGGCCTGCTCGACTAGACTGGACGTTCTGTTATGTTGGTTTTCATGATGGTTGTGTGATTCATGGCGTTGGCGTTGGCGTTTTCGTTGATTATCTGCCCCTGGGTCCTGGTTGCGATATCCAACTGTGGCACACGCTGCTTTGGTGTCTATATTCCGCGCTAATCATAACATCCACTAACGATATTGCCCTGAATCTAGATGTCGCAAGAAAATGAAACGCGTCGAGCGTCGGGGCACCCTCGAGTCGCAACAACAACTGCAGAACCTCGCGATCCAACAACAACAGCAGTATCAGCCACGAACTACCTCACATGCCCAACTACCCCTCTCCCAGGGATCGGACCGGTCGATCCAACGCACTGACACCATGCTCACCAACCAAGCTTCCCATGGACCCGGCAGCTTTGCCCAAACCCCCCATTCTCACGGTCAGTCCCACTCGACTCTCAGAACATCTTCGACGCATCCATCGGTGGCTGGCTCTCCGAGCAAGAACCACGGCAGACAGGCACCGACTCCACCTGCGATCGCCTCCCTCCGCGAGCAGAACGAGGAAGAGGAGGAGGGGGAAGGGGAAGCTGAAGATGACCCTGATCAGCTCCCAACCTCGAACGTAGGGCGAGGCGGAGGTCGGGCTACCACACGCAATGGGCGGACACGGGCGGCAGGGCGATCAACACCTCTCGAGACTGCAAACGGCTCATCCACCAAGCGCTCGCCGCGCGGTGCCGGCGGTACAGGTCGGGCATCGATACCGCCTCGCATGGAGATGGACGTCGATGAGATGGACGCTGATGCTGACGCTGACGCCGAGGCAGATGCAGAGGCTGAGATCCTTGGTGCTGTCGCCGCCGCCCTGAACGACGATGGTGAGGGCGACGGAGAGGGTGACATGGAGGCGGATGGTGACGCAGACGCTGAACTCCTCGAAGCGGTTGACGCCGCAGAAGCCAACAGTAGCTCGTCGCATGGCGGCTAGCGAAACCAGAAGAAAGCAGAAGCATGACGCCCAATCCCTTCGCGCCGCTGTCTACAGCGGTTCGCGGGTGGCCTTTTCCCCTTCGTATCATCCCCCTTCTCTCGCAATTCTCCACTAGCGACATTTTCTACACACCCGACGTGGTCGCTTGCCCTCATCCTTCCCTCTACATCCCACATTCTGCCTATGCTTTGTCTTCATCACACTCGTACACCTACTGCTGTTTTCCTTCCACCATGTCCTATCCATGCCTTTCACGTCGTATATACGCCACGTTACGCCCCCCGGTTGTTCGTGATACCTCTATCCCTCTACTACCCATTACAATCGATGGTTGACCTTTTTTTAGTTTCATTGCACCACCAAGGACGACACCTACCACCTCGTCATGTATCGCTGGACATCCTTCGCCTTTCATTCTATCCACTCATACAAAAGGTCTCTTTCGTCAATCTCATGCCCACTATGCCCTCATGATCACTCTCCTTCATGCTTGTACATTGCTGTCGGTTATGCTCTCTCCTTCATCTTTGGCCGCCTTCCCTGTCTGTCTCGATATTCCTTCCTTCCTGCTTCTGTCGGATGAAAAACTGTTGTTGTTCAATATATTCTGTCTATCTTCGGACCGATTCTGACCGTTGTGAGAGAAAGTGGTGTCTCGTGAGGTATGTAGAAGGTATTCTTCGTCCAGATTGTGCATCTTCGATAAAGTTCAAAGTTTCTGGCTTCATATGACGCTAAAGCCTAGCTGTGGGCCGGACTTCCACTGACGTCGTACGTCCCTCGTCTTTAGGTCAGGGAATGCGTGGTTGAGACCCTGAAACTGTAAAAGTTGTGCTCAAGGTGATTCGTGCACTCCAAAAGGATGGTTGACGCCTAAAACGACATCGAAGACACTTTTGACCGCTCTAAGTACATGATCTAAGGCATTCATTTATTCCTCCGGCGCCTGTTGTGTGGACAAACTTCAACGGCTTAGCAAGACCTCCCCGACGCCCCGACGAAGGCCCTATGTTATGTCACATCCTCAGGCTTCTTCTCACCCCGAAGCGTTGGCGCGAACAATCCCACGCGCTTATCCAAACTTTCTGACCCTGGCCGTGTCGCATGCCATAATGAGGATCATGTGTACGCAAAGGCACGTACGGGGGTTCAGATAAGTAATCGGTAAACAGATGGGTTCAATACATTTGCGTCCAAGTACGCGAGAAGCGTTGATTGACACATCTCAAGGACCTCGACAGAGCCACCAGACTCAAGTGCGTATCAAGCACGTCAAAAGTCGGGCCGTATGCACGCGGGGGACCTGATGTATGAACGAGGGTAGTGAATAAGAGAACTCTCGAAGTAGATATCCTCGAGGCCCCCGCGAGGCGCGTCAAGTGGTGAGATGGATCAACTCTCATTAGGATTCGGGATTGGAGTCCAGGCGCCGTGCGTTATCCCACCCAATCGGAAAATATCGATCATGGGTCGGGTCGTGTCTTCACGAGAACGTTCAAAGAAGCTCGGTGGTTCATACCGCTGTGAACCAATGCGACTAACGCGCACCGAGCAGACGGATTTCATCTACCTTGCCATCATCATTCCCAGTAATGAAACCAGCGCACTCGGATTGTGACACGGCGGGAGATTTTTTCTCCAAACGTAGACCATCCTCAAATAGAGCGAAAACGAGTCTTCTGATGCTCCTTGCCCATCCCAACGACGGTGTTGTGAGAGACTTCACGGTCGCGTTATTGACGAGATTGAGACTAATCCATATCGAGGGTAACTACTCCTTCTTGGACGGTTAAAACCTCCACCAAAGTCGTACAACGGGAAAGGAACGTGTGCGATATCACAGAAGACCACAGGAGAGGAATACACGCTGCGTACCGGAGCTTCAACGCATATTCCGACAATAGAACTTTTGATTGACAGCGATCCTTCGAGGTCGCTGCAATTGAAAGTCGTCTGAAACACAGTGAAGCGGCATGCACTAAGATCGGATACAGATTTCAGCGGAGGGAACGCGCACAGAACTTTGGCATTCTTGGTTGTTCGTAATCCCCAAAACAAAGCAGCATGACGAATGTGATCAGTTGGGGAAGACCTATTCGTGTACGAGATGCGTAGGACCCTCTCGTTTCATAAATTTTAGAGACGGTGAGCAGAGAGAACTTTTGGCCCCAGTCATACTCGACAACCTCTTCACGGAAGAGACAGAGATTAATATTTGACAACAAACTATAACCTTCCCGGCTCGCGCCCTGACCAGTCCACATGCATTTTTAGATATACTATCCAACCTGGAATAGCCTATATCAAGGTAGAGGCATGCTCTTGCCGTTTGCCTATTCGCTCGAGGGAGGGTAGGAAAACCAGCAGTAGATCTATCAACTTGCAGTGCATCTTCTCTGCGAAAGCATCGAAATATTCACCGTGCCCATATCCCTGGTGTCTTGGCGTATCCGCAATAGTTCTCGGACCGATTCTCTAAGCCCGTCGCCCAGCGCCATGAGGCATCATGGTGGCCTTTCCGGAGGAAGGTTGTCGCCCACTCATCACGTCATTCATACTCATAGCGCTCGTTTTTAAGGAGTCTACATATGTTACTGATTACTGAAACAAGTTTGAATGCTGCGTCATCTGGCTCAGGATCTATACAGTTCACCCTCGAACTTCCGCAACATCCCTCGGATCACGGGCGTTTGGAATAAATATCTGAGTATTGGCGTAGTCATCCCTTTGATTCGCAATTATTCCAGCGCCAATTCCGGCACTCTGCCTTTTTTATTGGTCCCTCTCGTTGGCATAATGCTGCTCGTGCAGAGGCACCTGCTAGACGGAAGATAATCGACTTACTTATTAGCCAGAGGTGAAAATTCCCACATTGCGATCGTCCTCCAGTTTAATTTTCTTCAATCCTCTGAAGTTGAACTGGAGGTCTAAAATATATCACGCTTTTCACGATGCATTGGACCTCGAACTTAGCGCCGTCAGAACGGGCTTGAGTTCCTCATCGGTTTAAGCGAATTGAGACTTGGACCCCCTCCTATCCTATTTCCTTTGCACATCTATCTTCCGCGAAGGATACATACCTACCCGTTAAAATGCCGTAGATAGGAGGCGGCCCGCTGGACACCGGGACAGTCGTGAGAATCACAGCACAGCCTCCTGCCAGCCCATGATGCATGATGCCGTGCGCCACCAAGTTAACGGTCAACTGGTTGTATCACTGCGCATGCCAGCGTCTATGCTCTAGTGCTATGTGGGAGCGTCTCGTTCTTCCAAAGACATTACCCCTCTCGACGGCGACACTCATTATCCGCCCTTCCCCTTAACCACGTAGTGTTTCTGAGCGTAGAAGGCCAAACGTGGCAGGACGGACGCAAGTTGCTGACTCCCAACAATGTTTCTCCTCTTTACTCTGGTGTATATCATGCGCTCTATTAAGGCAGAAACCACTTCTGCGCCTACATCGACCCCTCTTCCTCACTTGGATCGTCTCATTTACGTCAGACAAGACTCTGGTCCTGCGCCAGTGTCAAGTTGCACCTGCCCAGATACACGTACCATCTGGAACGTCATATGGAGCTGCTTCAGCACCATCTTCATCTGCACCTGGCTCTCTGTCCATCCCAATGTCCCGGGCCCTCAAGAATCACCTTGGGCAATTCGCGGTCGGCGATTGAAATTGATGATATGGGCCTTCATAGGCCCGGAGTTGTTCATAATATGGGCCTACAGGCAGCGATTTATGGCCAAAAAGATTGCGGAAAAGTATCGAAGTACGTTCTTTCATCGTTTTCTAGCCTTTCACGACATTGATTAGTATTGGACCACATTGATAGGTCGTGGATGGACTATCGCCCATGGGTTCTTCCTCGTGATGGGCGGATTTCATCTCTACGACTGCGAAAAGGATCTCGGGGTCCTCTCCGTTCAACGATTTAATTCCTTGATCGAATCCAATACCATCGATTTCCCCTCAGCACTCACGCGGGAAGACATAGAAGACAAAAGCAAGGCCGACGGGCTATCTAAAGGAATTACGATCATTCAAACGTCGTGGTTCGTACTGCAGTGTATCGCTCGAGGTGTCCAGAAGCTTCCATTGACGGAATTGGAGGTTGTCACTCTGGCGTTGGCCAGCCTCAACGCATTGATATACGGGTTGTGGTGGAATAAACCCCTCGACGTTCAGCGATGTCTCAAAATTACCTTGAAAGCCTCTTCGACCGCGATTGAGCAGCCCATAAAATCCAACCCTGACCAGGTTATTGAGGACGGCGACCGTAATTTAATTTACGCGCCAATATCAGCGGACCTCAAGAAAAATACTCCTGCCTCTCCATCTGCTCAAGACCAGGATGCGAGGACAGGCCACGAGAATGTTGTACGTTTCTCTTCCTTGAAAACCTGAACTCGCTTAATCTTAAGGCCAGGCACGGAGCAGGATATCGAGGATGCACAATTCCCTGACCCTTTGGGTGAAAGTCACACGTCAAGAGTTTTATGATTATCGTATGAACGAGAGGCGAAGACGAGAACTACGGGCTGAACGGCTAACATTCACCCGCTTCATTCTTCACCGGGTTATCGCAGAACTCTTCATAATACCCATCAGTGAGCTCACTGAGGGTGAATTCCAAATCCCAGAAGGGTTCGACCGGGTGACGAATTACTACCACGGAGTGGAGACTCTAGAGGACTTGCACGCCATTCGGCCATCTATACTTCTCTGGGTCGGAATAGCTATCAGTGCCGTCTTTGGTGCCATTCACTGCATCGCTTGGGGCTTCTCCTTCCCCTCAAAAATCCAACGCGACCTGTGGCGTGCAATGTCCCTCGCCGTCATCGCCAGTCCACTAGTCTTTTTCTGCGTCCCTTCACTTTATTCAGCCCTCCTCAAGCCCTCCGTTGCGGAATTTGTCGAGAGATGGCGTAGTCGCCGTGGAGTTGCTGCTTTTTTCTATCGTTGCGTCGGAAATTTGCCTGGGGTCCTCGAGGTTTTGGTCAGATATATATCAGCGTCGATCTATATCGCAGCCAGAGTGGGACTGTTGGGCATAGCACTCGCTTCGTTGGGGGACCTGCCCCCGGATACGCTACGAGATGTTGACTGGGTAGACTTTCTGCCCCATCTATGAGTACGTGGATTAGCACGTCGTCTATTGGCAATTCTAACACGGACGTTTGCGACGACGTTTTAGAGGTGTATGAGCTATCGTGTACAGCGTCATGGTACCCAGTGTATGCTTCTGACTCGCTCCGGCTGTGTTGTCGTTTCAAAATGTATGGCGTCGAGCATGGCGGCGCGGTCGACTTCTGGGTCAACACTTGCTCGGATGTGTAACAGAACACGGCTCGTGAGGAGGGCATGGATGCAACGAGATGATCTATGTAAGGATATTAGACTTCAGAATGACCTCCCATATCAGGAGAAGGAGAGGGCCGTACGTGGTGACCATATATCGATATGATACAGGTACCTGGCAGCCTGTAAACAGATTAGCACAGCGATATATGATGACAGAGAAACGGCTCACGTCATTAGCAGAATGTTCATCGACGAGGTAGCTGAAAGAGACATCAGTCACATTCTCGAAGTCCTGGCTACCATCTGCTCACCAAAGAGGAAGACATAATACAAGATTCCTAGATAGCTTAGCACGAGGTGACACGGCTAATTCGCGAGAAGGACCTACCTTCGGTGTAAACAGCAGTGTACAATGCCGAATTACCCCTATAGTGATCTGGAAGAGGCTGTTATTGCATCCAGGGTTGAACAGGAAGATGAACGTACAAGCCTTTACTGCGGGGATTATCATTAGGACTAGTATAACTGTTAGGGTAGGTCAGTCTAGTTAAGAGCATAAAGAAGTGTCATCACACACAGGCGTCCCATCCTAGCAACAGTGCCCAGTTAACAACTACAAGATTATCCGCCGCAGTGGGAATACATCCCCGGAATGGGGGTGGAAGTGTAGCAACTACGCGAATTAAGGCAGTGTGAGTGATAGGGGCTGGCGGAAAAGTGAGAGACCCTTACACTGCATCGTTGGGAGGACCTTGAAGTGCATTATGATGGTCGGAATGAAGCACAGAGGGTAGAGGACGATAAGAGCGTGCGTCAGCATTCTGGTCCGGTTCCAGACCGCCCAGGCTCGGGATGTCAGAAGCACTGTCAGGTTTCGGTGGAACTGGTGAGGTTGGATGTTGCGCTGTTGCTGGAGGAGTACTCACATTCCGAGAATGCCAACCCAAAAGACATTATACTTTTCGCCGCTCCATTCAGCAACACGCACGTCTCGACACTTAGGTTCTTTCCGAAATTGACTGGAAGGAGACCGTGAATCCTCGGGCCTCAGCCTCTAAGTAAGATCAAGTTCAGCGAGAGTTGGAACTCACAATGCAAAGTCAACCAGAGAGAGTCGAAGAAAGGAAGGTATCGCTGAACGAAGTAGACGACCATGATGGGTGTCCACGCTCCAGGCCAGATGTATCGAACCTCCATCCCGACGGTGAGAAGGTAGTCCCAGAGAAAGACGGCGCACGCGGAGACTATGAAACATGAGCTGTTTTGGGTGTCGTGAAGTGGGCAACTACGCACGCTCGACCATCTTTGTGAGGTCGAAGGTGTGTGTGGTGTCAGTGACGACTAGACGGCTGAGCAAGAGAGTCGCGCACCTTCGCCACATTCGACGCCTGGAGACTGTCAATCATGCCAGAGTCTGACATGCCTACGCCTTCCAAGGCCAGAAATTGTGGCGCTAGACCACCAAAGTTGAGATAAACGGAAGGATGGGGTGGCCGTCGATTAAGGGGTGAAGGAGGTTGGGGTGAAAGTGATGCTTAGTTATCATTTGTATGGAAGGAAGACAGAAACTTCATACGATCAATGACGATCACATAAGATGCAGGGATGGGTGCTTCGCGTGTACGAGCCTTCGCTACACGTGCAATACATGGATCCTTTTTAGTCTAGAATTTCCTTACTGAGATGGATCATCTAACAACAATGATTCTCACTGCCGAGTACATAGTTGTTGGTAAGGACTTTAATTCTTTGGAGGAGCTAGATTGTCTATATCCGTTGCAACTTGATCAGGTGCTTTTACGCGGGGATAATTGCCTGAATACGGGGCTCACGGCGGCTTTTCTTGATTATGCCTACTCGCATCGTCGCCTATCATTAAAAGGACAGGTATTAATTTGGGATACACGTCGAGGACTTCTTTCACTTTGTATTCCCGGTTTCGGGTATTCAAGCTTCTATGTCCCTTTCCTGGGGACAGTAGAGACCAGACCGTCGAGTCCGATTACCGTCCACTATTAGAGATCTAGAAATACAACATATTCGCTCGCTTGTGAATAAGATCATCCATGTCATTTTTTTAAAAAAACGAGCTGAGTATAGCTTTAAATGAGGTCGGGTTGATCATCGAATGCTGGAGAGCCGCATGGCTGCACGCGCAGAACACGAGAGTGAATCGGACCCACTTCCTCCTCCATGGCAGCTTTCAATTTGTGGAATCGGTCCTTCCCACAATAGTACGCGCTGACGGTAAGATACATCTTGAACCGAGAGGATTCAAAGGAGACGCCCTCATGCAGCAAAGGTACTCCAGATCGATGTCGATTCCACTCGTAACGCGATTTGATGAGTCTGGAATAGCTCGTGTTCAAATTTTTGGAATATTCCTTTGTATTGTTGTGAAGAGGGTGATTGAGTCGGAGGGATATAAGATTGGGCAGCGGAGGGCTGATGGGCGGTTCGTGGTGTTGGTGCGTCAAGAAAGATATAAGATTGCCGGAATCGTCCATCCCCGACCGATGAACTTTTGTCTGTTGGGTGCTATCTGTTCTCAGTATGCTCAAAGCTTCCAGTTGAGTCGTCAAGAGAAGCAACGCAAAAAGGTCACCATCCTCAATCTGGACATGGGTCAACGATAGCGAAGTAAGCCTCGCTATGTACGGCATATCGCGCTGAATAGACGCAGTGAAAGGCTCTCCTAGTGGGACGAGAGAAAATGGAGAGGAAAATATGGCATGCAGGTGGAGAGATCGAAGAGCGGGGAAGTCGATACTTCGAAAGATCATCGACGCGCTTCCACCAAATGCGACTTTGAGGGAGAGAGATGTGAGATTCGTTAATGAAGTGGGGGACGAGGGCGAATTCCACGCTATGCCGTCGGTGATGTTCCCGCTGTCTTGAAGGGGTTGAAAATCAGCTCTGGCCGCGCGAAGATTGCTGCATTTAATGATGAAATTACGCCAATGCTGAATGGCAGTTCCACTGCTGACCTTTGGTCGGCGATCTTCGGAACCGAAGGCGGCCACAAATGTCTCGAGTTGCTGATGCGGAACGGATATGTGGGAGAGGTGGACTGGAGCTGCGGTGAAAAGTTCGTAATGCCGCAGGGGACAAGTTGAAAACATCTGGGTCTTGGGAACCATCGAAGCGGACTCCAGGTGTAAGACGAGAGATTGAAGAGAAGAGAAGCAGTCGGGTCGCAAATGAGCAAGAACGGAGTCGCCCCACTTTTGATCCACGGAAATGTCCAGCGAACCGCATTTTGGAAAGAGACGACGGAGCGTATGATAGGCTTCGTCTCGACAGTTCTGGATTTCCATTGGGGGGTCGTCAAGCTTTCCAAAGTTCGAGTCTTACAG